GAAATCAAAGGAAGTCTTAAAAAGATCTCAGCTACAGTTTGATCCCATCTCTTACCTTCTCTTTTTTACAATGGCAGCCATATTTTTATGAGTGCATAAAAAGATAATGTCAAATGAAAATGGTTCCAGAAAACAAATAAATAATTACAGCAATGCATGTCCAGTTAGATATCTCCAGTTTTCTGATTTAAAAAATTCCACAGGGCATGATTTCTAAATGATTTGGGTTTATTTCCATTCTTCTAAGACTCTGAACGCAGGTTCATTTTGGCAAAGTTTAAAAATAACTTAGAAGTCCTCCCTCCTCCTTCCCCCATCACATTAAAAAAACCAAGCATTATTTAAAGGGCAAGAACACTATTAAGAAGAAATGAACTATTTCAACAGTAATGATTTTCAACTTTATGAATTTTGAAGCTCACTATGAAAACCAAGTACTATGAAAAGTTTCTCTGAAATCCTTCACACTCCTTCCTGTATGTATGCTTAGAAGAGTGTTCTCTCTAGTTGATGCTCCCATCCACTGTTCAATAAAAGATGACCTGAAAATACCTTGTGATGTTTCTTGTTGCCACAGAAAGGACTTTTGTTCATACAAGGGCAATATCATGCAATATATGAGAAAAAGAAATTTAATAAAAAAGAAAGAATCAAAGCTGAAAGGGCAGATTCAGACTTAAAGTTGTCTTCAAAACAGCATATGTACTGTACTATTTAATGACATGTAATAGGTCATAATAGAAAGATTTTAGACTGTTTTGATTTTCACAGGTTTCTAATCTCATCCCGTTCCTCAGTTTAATAGCAGAGATTGCTCAGTGTCAGTATATTTACATTCAATGTACTATACTGTTTCTTATTTTAAATCTTTACTCTTTCTGCTTTAGTGTTCCTGACTCAAACGAAAATTGGACTTCCTGACTTTAAAACAGAAAAAACAGAAATATAATTTGAAAGATTAGGTTTTGTCAAAGCAAGGTTTTACCTACATTTTTAATCTACTTTAATATACCAGGCTCTTTTGAGTTTATGGTATCCACAGCGGTTGAATAACAGATAATCCTGACTGAACATAACAGGAAAAAAAGAAATTAAAATCAACTGATGTCTTGCTTCAGGAATCACTTCCCAAAATCTCTGTAAATTTTACTTGTTTAAAGTGACGAAACTAAAGGTAACTGTATGATTCATAGAGCTGACACCACCACTAAAATCAGCTAAAATATAAGTCTTTCAAAATTGGATTTTTGTATCCTCAAATATAAAACAACGCACAATGATAAATGCATGAGTGATAAACTTAATACATAAAGAAAAACATCACACATTTGCCCAGAACAATTTTGTACTTGTGACAAAGGCATCTAACATTAGTCTATCACAGCTCAGGACTACAGCTGTTAACTTCCTAAGCTTTACTTAGCAATATAAATATATATATATATATATATATATATAGAGCAGTATAGGTATAAATGTTATATAAGAGATTCTAAATATGCAATAATTCAAATGTGATTGTAGAGCATTAGTTCAGTAGACGCTGAGAAAGGATACAGAATACATCCTGCATCACCTGGGACTTGGTGTGAAACAGTTTTCGCAGAATATTTTGAGATAAATTAAATCAGTTATGTAAATGCAAGCAATGCACCTCCTCTTCTTACATCACTACAGACATACTAACATTGTTTCATTAAAAAAGGAACAGATATGGTCTTCCCAAATATGTCAGGTCTTATTTTGCTAAACATTTATTTGTTGACCATCTGCGTCTTCTCTGAAGTAGCAGTATATTATCCTGAAACAAAAGAACTGTGCAGACTTCATGTCCACCACTATATAACATATTATGTCTAGCTATATACATGTCAATATATTCCAAGATTTTCTTGGGAAGGCAATTAAAGTATATCTGAGTTTATAAAACCATTGGGTCCACCCAGGATCAAATATAGACTTTCACTGATTTGAATGATGAGCTTTTCAGACTACACCGTCTGGCTAGATCATATAGAAATACAATAAATGAAAGAAATTTGTCCCAGGTCTTGGGTACAATTGCTGACAATGGCATTCAAAAAATAATAAAAATAAAATTCTTGTTAGCTAAAATAATTTTTAAATTGTTCTTAAGAATACCATGGCATGCTCAGTGATTCCAGAATGCAAATTAAATTCTTAGCTAAGAAACGGGAACTTATGCATTTTATTTCCTCAGACCTTTGTCTATTTTCTTAACATATTGAATACCTAGTGCAATAAATTTGATTCTAAGACCAAAATCACTCCAAGATGAACACAGAATCCAAGTTGTTACTGAAATACCCCTTTGTGTAGCATGCTAGATAAATACCTTGTTAAGTAGTGAACTGCATCCAATGTACCAAACTACAAACCTGAAATCAGAAGTCACATCCTCTTCAATTCTTCTGTATTTATAAATATTGCTAGACTTCTGAATTTCTAAACTCACCATCATGATATTCTTATCAAGAAAAGAAGACAAATGTAGCTGATCTTAAAGCATCTCCATATAACTATGAAACTTCTGCTACTCTGTAAACAATCCTGGAACTCTGTGCTTCACAATTATATTTTGCTTCATTCATATTCTTTCACGGATGATTCTCTGTGTTAGCTTACTTGTATTTGTCAGGATTATACCACATGGACAGCCAGGTTATACCATCACAGGTACCACTGTGATAAGGTTAACACTTCTACAGAGATTTGTAAGTAGGTTTTAAAAGCCTACAATATCCCAGCTATTTACAAATGCCTTGGTGAAGAGAAAAGACAAAAAAAATACATAGTTAAAAGTTTTAGTAAATCTATTTAAGCTAATAAAACTTCCTTAAACATGTTCATCAACAAAGCAATTTAAATATTTATACCAACTACTTTTGATATGTCCACCATAAATCTCTATTTTCATTCTTTTTCCCCAAAAAACTCCATGAATAAATTACATCAGATCCAAAGAAAGGAAATTAAAAAATCAATTTCTTGAGAATATAATTCCTCTGTCTCATTTTCATAAGTTTTGATTTATATGAACTTAAATTAATGGACTACTTTCAGACTATATCAGGTACTCAGACAAGAGGTTTGTGTCAGTGGGGACAGTCAACCACATCTATGGATATTCACGGTTATCACAGAATCTGACAAAATGCTCCATCTAAAATCTGCATCATTGCAACAGAAAATATTTTCATCCATTTGATCACATTTGACTGAACATCTATTTTATTTAGCAATACCTTAAAGGATACTTTGGTGTTAAAAAAAAAAAGTGAAGGGCTTTTTAATCAATTAAATACATTCTGCCTTCATTTGCTTTATTCCTGTACCTGGGATTTCATTACTGGGTGCCTCAGTATTGTGTAAATACTTCCATTTTTTATGCTTAAGTAAGAAAAGCCAACCAGCATTCTGTATCCTTAATTTAAATTTTTTATCATTTTGATGGATTGCTTTCTCCTTTTGGCTTAACACCTTTTTTATGCTTTTAGCTGGGTTTTCTTTTTTCTCTCTGGGAAAGTAGCTTTTCCAATTTTCATGTTCAAGTCATTTATCCATTAAACTATTTACATGTTTACATTCTTGTATTACTTGCTTCATAATCAAGGCTGGGCTTCTCACTCAGTGTGTAAGAGTATTCGCTCAAATTATAAAAACAGTCAGACTCTGTCTTGCATCTTTTTTAAAATAAAAACCCCTTTTAAACATTTAAATGTACCCCTTAGTAAACAACAGTACTCAAAACTCAGATTAACATATATGCATTCTGTTATTTCTCTACCTTCTGCAACTTCTGAAAAATAACTGGTTTGGTATAATGAAGATCATAATTTTCAAATTAAAAAGAAAAATCTAAGCTGACATGACTGTAAAACAAACCAATTAAATTCACGTGGAGATTGTAAATCCATTATTCTTGCATACACGGTCACATGCACGCTCATGACATGCACATGTCAAAAAAGATAGAAATAAAATTAAAAAAAAACCCAAGTGATGTACAGTATCACTGCTCACCACCAAGCAATGTCCAGCCCCTTCTCCAGCTGTGATTGGCTCCTCCCAAACTCTCCTGTGTTTGTACACTGGGAATAATATTCTAATATATGGAATATACCTTTGCCAGTTCCCCCAGCCTGCCCATGTTCCCTTGCAGCTATTTATGCACCATCTCACTATTAGAGCATGAAAAACTGAAAACTACTTGACTTAGATTGTAACAACTAAATCATCAGTGTGTTTGCAACATTACTATCCATATTAAATCCAGAACACTGCACATTTCAGCTACAAGGAAGAGAATTAACTTTGTTCTCGCCAAAACCAAGCAGTTTTGTTTTTTGTTGCAATTCACAAAACATTTTCAATAAGTCAACTGCTAGAAGCTGTAACTACATTTACTAAAAGTTTACACTTATCTGAATCTACATCAATCAGCACAAAGTGACAATGAACAAAATAACGAAAGAGAATACTTATTCTGCCCAGTTCTATCAGTATGGAGTCCTGAATAAAGGCTGGAACAAAATTTCTGAAGAAAATCTAAAAGGTGACACCTTTCTTCCAAAACTGAGGGAACAGAATAAAATGAAAGATCGTGCCATGACACAGTGAGCCATGCAATAGCAGTCTAACTCAGACTGCCTCAGACTCTTGTATAATCCCTTTTTGCCCAGATCGTGCAATGTCCCAGATGGTACAGCTGGGAAATAATTTCTCTATCCACTGTGCATGATGTAAACTCGTGTGTTACTCAGCCACTGTATGGGTTTGAAACGTGTCTGATTGCATTTGCCTTTTTTGTCAGCAAGTGAAAACAAAAAACCACAAACAAAACCTTATTCTTGGTTAGCACTAGCCCACTGCAGTTTGAAATAATTAGTTGATAAAATGACTGTGCCATGGAAATTATAATTAATAGAATATTAAATTCTTTATCCCTTTTATTAACAAAAACGGAATCCATAACATACCTCTTTTTTCTCTGTGAACTTCTTCCAAAAGTTTTTCCTGCTTTTTTATCTGTTTAAAGAGAGACTGATGCTCAGTCTCCTTTATCTGTGTAAAGTGCTTGAGCTGTTCTCGGCTCTGCAGCAAGTAGCATCGCAGCTTTTTTTCCTTACTTTCTCTTTCCTTTACCTCCTCACAGAGCCACTGAAGCTTAGTCTACATTTAAAACAAAAGGTACAATAAAAAGTAAAGAATTCTAATAAAAATAAGAGGACATAAATGTTCACTGACCATATGATCGTTGGAGTCACAAATTACTCATTTGTAGCTATCTGAACAATAATAATAGAGGGCATTTAGATATATTAAGAGAAGAAAAGTTGATTTTCAAGAGACCCAAAAGACATATTTTGGTTGATAATTATATGGGAAAAGTGATTTTCTTTTATTTTATTTCTTTTAAATCAGAAGCATGAATTTGCTAGGGTAGATATGGAAATTCACATTGAATTAGTGCACACATAGGCACCAAGAGATAGGCCTTCCTTTCAGAGTACCTTTTTCTCTCATTTTAATGTTGGCAGAATTTTAAAATATTTCCCCTTTCTAAAAAAGTGACATCAATCCTTTCTAGTCAGCAAAAGTCAATATTTAAGATTCACTCAGAGGAGAAAAAGACCTCATTGATAAGGTTGTGATCAATTTAGTAAATCTAGAAGTGATGAAATGGAATACAGTATGGAAACTTTCACACAGTATTTAAAAACAAAAGAAAATAAAAGTGGCACTTTAGGCAGCCATTCATTCTAAACTTCCCTCTAGCAGCTAAACAAACTTAGGTTTGCAAAGTATTAATAGGTGGTCTTTAAAAAAAAATTTTTAATAATATGTGTCACTTTTTCAAATGAAGAAAACACTCCCTCCGTAACATTTCTCCTTTGATTCCAATCTTATTTCTGTTATCTACGTGGAAGTCTTTCTTGGTCTACAAGTCTTACAAAGACCACATGCCATGAATAATCTTCTCTTACATGCAAACATTTACAACTTTTTTCCTTAAGTCAATTCTCCTGTGACTTTCACCTTTTTATATGAAGCAAAACCACCAGTTGTCTTCCACAGTTTGTAATCTATTTTAATCATGAGGAATTTACTTCTTTTAGAAGATATTGGGTAAGAAGTGTGCTATGTGTGTGAGCTCAGGGAGCTGGAGGAAAGCTGCAAAATGAAAGGCAAGACTCATGAGTTACAGTCATCACCTTGAAGATGTTCTCAAGCATGTGTTCTCCCATATTATAGGATTTGAAAGCTTCAATGGGGAAAGAAAAATCATTCATTTTCCAAGAATCCAATCTAATATATTTTAGACTGAACAAATACTGGCCTTATTTAAAATAATTTCTAGCCTTGTGATAATGCTGTAAGAGAAACTTAACCTGCTGACTACATTCTCATGCTTTACTGAAAAAATTTGAACCAAATCTAAAGGCTATCACTGCTCTTACTTCAAATGCCTTTTTTTTTGTGAAAACAATATTGTTATTTATTTTGCTATAGAGATGGCTATTTCTTGTTGATAGAAACATTTGGAAAATTATTCTATCAGTTGAAATAAAAGTCTGGAAATATCAGAATAATTGCCAAAGGAATGCTTTTGTATTTTTCCTTTTGCCCTTGAAGTGCCATTTTAAATGGACTTTCAACTAAACCAGACCCATCCATTCACAGACTCACCCCTTCACTCGAGTGTAATATAGGGTTAGGGCTGAAAAGGACCTTAAGGATCATCTCGTTCCAACTCCGTGATATGTGTAGGAACACCTCCCACTACATCATCAAATGCTGAATATTAGCTCACTCAGTAAAATTTCAGGAGGTTTGACTATTACCTTTGTTTCTGCTAACCAGCGATGAGGATCATTCGGTACTGTTGGTGTAAGGGATATTGCCTGTGAAAAAGCAGGTGACAAAGAAACAGACATAAAATAGGAATTAGGCATAGGAGGAAGAAAGTCTTTTCTGCTCACTGGAAATTCCTCAAAGAAATACATTTCTTATCAAGGAAGATTAAGCCTAGTGCTTGACTTCTCTCAATACAAATATTTATCCATCAAATTCCTCCTGCTTACCCAAGTTGGAGCAGCAACTTCTTGAAGTAAATGGTGAAATTTTTTAGAAACTTTAGCAATACCTAAAGTACTGGGCAGAGGAACAATATTATAAAAGACAACGTTTATCTTTAACAAGAATAAAAATTCATACCAGGATCACAAAACTAACTTTTTTTTCCACATTAACTGTCTAGTCAAAAACTCGCATTCAGAACTGGTTTAAGTTGACCAGCGATAAGAAACCAAGGAGAATTGTATAAACAGGGATCTGCAAAACCTTATCCAGAAACCAAAAAGCTTCACAAGGTGAGCAACAAGTCCAAGAAGGCATGGTTCAATGATCAAAAATCTGGCAACCACAGCAGATTACAAAACTTAATTTAAAAAAAAGACCTATCTGTAAGGATACAGAGGAGAAAGCTGTTTGTAAAATACATTTTCTTAGAATTCTCATCTAGTTTTGTGCTGCAATACCCCAACTCCATGTGTAAGTGGAGAAATGGTGTCAATTGTGAAAAAAAAATAAATTTCAAAAGCAATCCAGCCCAGTCAAACGACCAAGAGCTACAAAGCATTTTTTGTTTAAACAGCAAGACAAAAAAAAAGATGTAATCTGAATGTACTCTGGGTTGTAGCTAAGGCCAAAAGGCCACTAGGTCAAGCACTTGTAAGTGTGGCGACAAGCTGAGTCAGACAGTCTGTTCTCACTATTCTCAGAAATGTACAATGTTGATTTAAGAGGATCAGTCATGTTGAATCATATGGAGGGCGCAAGAGTGGTTTCTGTACCTGGGGAGCAAATGAGAACGCTCTGAAGAAAAGCTACAGGGAGACAGGGGCTGCAGGAGAAGTAGCAAAATAGCAAAAAAAAGGTTCCAGCTAGCTACCAGTTTCCTGAAAATTCAAGTCTGAGTTTTCTGGATACAAGGACCTGCTCCTCAAAAGAGGAGGGTATAAACTCTTTCCATTTTCAGTATTCAGTTCTCTACATAAAAAACAAAGCATCCAAGTGATTTTTTTAACAAAAAATTTCTTTCATTTTCTCCCAGTTTTAAAAGCATTTTAGGCCCTTCTTAAGGATTTCCCAATTCCAGGAACATGGCCTAAGAAAACCTACCTCAAAATTTTGGCTAATAGAAGGTCCTTTCACAGAAACAAAAGGAGAACTATTTCTCAAAAGAGAAAAAAAAAAAGGAAGCAGTACCAACTAATGCATGGACAGTCCTTCACAGTTTCCCATTCTAATACACAGCAATGTCCCTCTGTACCAGCTAAATACCCATAATTCTGTCAGAATGATTATCTATGCAACAGTGAAAACAATGCATGCAAGTTCCACTACAAATTTTCATGAAGAAAAGAACAAAACCTGCAGCATACTTAAAACTTAGAATTACTTTGAATTTCCCCATGGAGTCCCGAGAAATGATTTCACAAGCAGCATCAATTTCACTTCCTATCATGGAGAGAATGGATTGCTGTTCCATTTCTAATTGACGTAGCTGATCTTTAAACTGCAGTCTGGCCTCACTCATCTTTCTCAAATGATCTTCATTGCTGATCTGTTTTTCCTGGAGTGAAAAAAGAAAAACAAAACAAAGTTAAGTAATTGCATTAATAATATATGTCATCAGCCATGTATCATTCAATCTCATAATCAGACCATACTCAGTCATGCTAAGTTCAACTGCTTGCCATGGAAAAATAATACCTTCTAATAGCACTTGTAAGTTCCTCCCTTGGTTCTCCTCATTATCCTGTAAATCAGTTATGAAGAAACTACTACTAAATCCAAACTCAACAATCATAAAGCCTATTTTCAAAGTCAAAAATAGATGTTCTAATACAAATCTCCTCATGAGTAGAAAAAGATCCCAGACTAAATACTCCCATTATTATCTTTTGCCCTCAATCTGTTGTAGGCATGTAATCTCTATTGTCAGAAAAGAAATCCCAGGAGGAAAATTTTATTGGCAGTCAGTCTGCCCTCAAAGATAACTACTCAAAGAATATCTCATAGGAGAGTGAGTGGCACAGAGGAAAGTGTTTTACGTTATCAACTAATGTCAGAAAGTTGATTAAATATATTACAGGTTTCTAAAATTCAGATTATCTTCTTTTATATCTATGAGAGAGCTGCCATAAAACCAAACAAAACTGCCGCTAGATTACACAAAATATTGAATTATGCATTATAAATAATATTGAAAAACCTATCCTGTGAGAATAAGTGAAATGGAAACACACCTGTCTGCTGCTGAGATCAGGAGGATGTAATGCAGCAAAGGGCAAACACTTTAACTGTGAGTTGCACCAAGAATAGTAAGAACAGCAAGGATTTCAAAAAATTATTAATTGTGGACCTCCACAATGACAAGGTACAACTGTTAGAAGTTTCTTTGTTAGAAATCTTCATAAACTGCTCTTATGAGACACCAACGCAGAGTTAGGTAATATCTAACACTCAAGTTCCATGAATGGGATATTTATGGAATCACAGAATCATTCACAGAGTCCAACTAAAAACCCCATACTGCCAAGTCCACCACACAACCATATCCCCGAATACCACATGTAGATGTCTTTTGAACACCTCCAGGGGTGGTGACCCAACCACTTCCCTAAGCAGCCTGCTCCAATGCCTGAATACATTTTTCCTAATGTCCAATCTAAATCTCCCCTGACACAGCTTAAGTCTATTTGCTCTTGTCCTATCACTTGCTAATTGGGAGACAAGACCAACATGCACCTTGCTATCTCCTTTCAGGAGGCTGTATACATATATATGTATAGGGGTTTATTTCTACTAGCAAAACAGGGGTTTTTAATGTAGGTGACCTACAAATGTGAAATACCAATACTTGATAAGCAGTCTGATTTTTTCACTTAACTAATACAAAAATACTTGGGACAGTAGTTATTCAAACTGAAGAAGTCATAAGATTTTTTAAGATGGACAGATTGCAGTATTTCTATACTGTGCTATAGATTTTTTAAGATGGACAGATTCCAGTATTTCTATACAGTACTATAAAGAGGGGAGCTGAAAGATGGGAGTTAAAATAATAGTTTTGACCTAGACTAGTATTCTGAAAGCAATAAGATTGCGCTGTATATATTTCCAGTATCTGTATTCTGTTACCCCACTATTCACTGAATGCATTCCAACACATGTCAAAGTTCATTCCCAAAGATCATGACTAAAATAGAACACATAACTTTATTTTTTTATTTATCTGCTTGATTTTCTGAATGTGTCAACATTCGTTATCATTCTACATCCAGAGCTTACAGGAGAAAAAAAGTCACTAATGACTCAGAAGTGCACGGAAGGAAAAGGAAAGAAACCAACCCCCCCCCCCCCATTATGCTCTCCTCCTTCACCTTTCAATTAAAAAAAAATCTAAGCTAGCTATAATACCTATGCCCCTTTGAATTAGTATTTGCATTAAGAACAGAATATTGAAAGTATAAAAAGCATGGAAAAGAAATAAAATACTCTGTAACACAATAAGCTTCTGCTGTGTTGCCACAATTGTATGCTAGCATGAGGTTTCTGAAGAGGTAATATTATTTCCCCCATCCTAACATCCCTTTTGACAATCCACAAAACCAAAATAGCAACTATTCTTTTAAGTTAACCTTAATGCAAGCTAATAGAAGTTCCATCTGCCTTTACCTGCAAAAGTTGAGACCACAGGATTGCATGCTTAAAACCTTCTCTGGTCTTTTTCAATTTAGAGATAAAAGATTATTTTGATTCAAAAAGTGTCTTCCCAATATTAGGTAAGGTTGGAGCTAATACACAACAGACTACAGAAGCCTATGTACATTCCTATAAACACATTTTCTTAATGATAGATATTACACAACTAAAATGCCAACACAGAAAAAACACATTTTTGAATTTTCATTTTAAGTACTTTTTACTAGTCTGACAAGTTTCTTTAGCTTGCTAAACTATCACTTCCTGATAGTTTAGCAAGCTAAAGAAATGCCAGATTTAACATTTTTCTAACTCTATACTATAAAAGAAAATCCCAAAAAACCAAAAATCCTCCACCCCAACATTACTTAGAATTTCTTTTACTATGCTTACATTACATATCTACTTCAAATTATTTCTAAATCACTCACAGCTCCACTGCATCTTGAAGAAAAATATGAAGAAAACTAGAAGTAGCTGATTAAACATTTGTTGGTTACCTACATTAGACACCAGGCAAGTAAGAGGATTTATATTTCTAGTCCTAAATAATATTAGCAAATCTTTGGAGGGATACCATTCATAATCCAGCCAAATCATTTTTGTCTTCTTTCATTCATAAAGAAACCATGTACTGTGGCACAACTGGGTGTATTCTTTAATACATACAGGCTAGGGTTTCTTTAGGTTTACCATCTATTTCTATAATCCATCATTTATATTAGGTATTTATCAGCAGAGAAACAAATCATGGTTAAAATCAGTTAATTTTACCTTTTTCTCCAGTTCTTGTTTTACAAATTCACATTTCCGTTTTAGTTTTGTATTTTCTTCCTTATTTTGGGTTAATTCTTCTGTCAACTTTTCACACTCAACTTTTATTTTTTCCAGTTGTCGACACTGAGCCTTGACTATGTTTTTTTCTTCTAAAAGTTCCATCTGATGGTAAAGGGAAAAAAGATTACAAAGTTACTGTATGGGTTATTTTAAAACACATCCAAATTTTAAAGTTTTATATCAGTGGAACACTATTGCCAAATGATAAATGTAAAAAATTAAGTTCTACTAAGTGCAATTACTTATCTGAACATGGAAAACACACATCACAAAGTTGCAGAACCATACACTGCTTTAAAAGCAGAAAACAGAAGTCTCAGGTTCTTCATTTCGGCTCTGCTACACTCATCAGCTTACGTCATCCTGAGAAGCCTAGTATTTATGCAGCTTTTCCATTACTAAAATAATTTGGAATCAGAAAGTCTAAAACTCATTTAATTTCAGGAACCAGTGCTAAATTTATATCTGCAAGGAAACAACAGCAAAGATTTAGTATTTTTAAGTTCTAGATTTATGTGGGTTTAGTGCTATTACTTTGTACGACTAATGCTACTCATGAAACTTTGCAGAGAAAAATGAAGAAAACATGTCAGGATCTAGAAAGCCCCAAAACAATGAGTAAATAATGTATATTTGTTTCCAGTGAAAAAAATAATTGACTGAAAATGAGAGATTTGAGAAATGCTCCATAGTATCTAGAAAATTTTAAAAAATACAACAAAGAAGCAAATTAACGCACACAGTCCTCAAAACCAGTTTAAGATTAGATGACATGAGGGATGCAGTTAAACAGAAAAATAAACTTGGGAAGTAAATTTCTTTCTGAGGAAATGCAAAAATTCTATTTCCCAATTACACTATAAATAAAACTTCTATGAGGAAGAAGGGTAAGGAGAGAAGTTTTATGAATTAATTTAGACACTATATCTAGACACTAATTTAGACACTAAATGGATTACAAAAACTCTTCCAAAGGACAATTTGAGAAAGAACTTTGGCATTCACAGTCTACAAAGATTTAAGACCACAAAGACAAGCCTGCAATGCCCAAAACATTTTCTGTGAATATGCTTATAAAAATCAACTTTTCAGTTCCTACTAAAAGTAATTGTATTATAACATCTATGCAGATGGAGACATTTCAAGAAAAAAATCCTTCACCTGTATTACCCTTGAGACACAGAAGAGAAAGTCAATACTTATTAATTTCCAATATAACAAGGTAGATATGACTGTAATTTAATTGATTTTTATTGAACCCAATTTTAACATTTAATACTCCAGGAAAAATGGGATGGCACAATTGGAAAATGTATAGAAAACAATTTAAAAAGAAATGTACACATATACACAATTTAATATGTTTAGATATATATCTCTATAAGTTTAGATTAAATATTAATACTTCAAATACTTCCATACTGTCAGGGAGCAGTAAATTTTGTATGTTATCATTCTAACAAGTATGTTTTTAAAGCAAATGAGGGTATGTATTAAAATTAGGTGACAGATCCAGAATTTCTGAGCATAAAGCCAAATGGGGATCACTAAGCAAACCACTTGATTTCCTATGCCTAGTGTATCAATCCTTTGAAATACTAAATAAGACATCATAGAGGCATTGGCTGGGAATCATTTAGGATGTTCTAATAGAAGCCAAATTAAAAGTTTAAGCATCAGAACTTCAGTAATGAAACAGTAAGATCCTTCTTAACACTGGTATCTCTAAAAACTCTGTTTTTCTCTGGTTCTCTTGCATCATCCAATATTTTATGGTACCTTCCCTACTACCGCAAAAAATCCTTAACTACTTAATTATTTTTCAATCCAGTGCTGCAGTACAGGAAACCAGAAAAAAGTGGGGCAGAAAGTACCACACAGAGTAGGCAAGAGAGGAAAGAACAACTAAAATCAAAAGTCACTTCTTTTTACAATCTGTGTAGAAGTTAGTTCTCTAAACACAGGACTCTCTACCCTTGATTTCCTGGAAGTAACTCATAAATGCATCCTCTTTAAATTTAAGGCTTTGGATTCTACAAATATATCAAATTTCCCTTCACTCCTCAAGTCTTCCTCAACCAACCTTTATTTTTAAAGCTTTAACTATCATTGGACAGGGTATGTATATTCCTTTCCAAAAACAGTTACAAAGGTTGGACACAGCTGAGGTATAAATAAGGTCAACTATTACTGTAACAGTAAAAGACAATCGGTTGCTAGCCACAAAATCTTAGCAGCTTGAAAAAAAAATGTAATAGGTTAAAAAAACTCCAACTTTTTCTGTTGGATTTCCCCAAAGACTACTCTAAGAACAAAATACTTATTTAAAAAAAAAAAGGGGTAAAAAAAGATAAAATGTATTTTAAGTTTACCTTACTTTAGAAGAAAAGTATGTCCATAAAATTGAAATCCAAATGCAATGTAATGATGAGTTCAGACAAAAAGTAACCAAATCACCTGCAGGATGACATGTTCTCATCAGATCTTCCAAGAGACACATGTGATTTTCTATTTTTTTCACTTATAGTCTCTTAATTAAGAGAATCTTGTGCATTATCATTTCGTATACTTCTGAAAAATTTGCCTACCCTAATATCTTAGAAAATTCATCTCCCTCAAACCTTCTGCTCTTAAAAAACATATTTAGGATTTATGATTCTGGGGTAGTCATGGAACTGTAAATGAAATATGGAAGTCAATTTTTTTAATACTCTGTTTAGGTTCAACAATCAGTAAAGACAAAAAGGTCCTAACAGTAGGACTTGCTGCTTCATAGAAAAACACAGTCACCACCAACTTATTTTTTCTTATTTGCATCCAGAATACACTTTCTTTCTTCTCACTTGATATCAAATGTAAACTCTTAATTTCAATGTCATTGCCAAAGAAAAAACCACTTTTGGACAGACCACTTAAATAATGACACACACACACTAAAAATTAGGTCTACAATGTTAAAGCACTGCTGTCAAAATATTTGATTTTAATGATCCTTCTACTAACAACCACCTAGGGGGGTTTTTATTGCTTTCTTCACTTAAAGGTTTCCATGTTACCAACTGCTTAAGAACTATTATCAAGTCATGAATGATATATTACATAACTAAACACTAGTCCCAATACAGATCCCGGAGGAACACCACTCATCACTCCTGCACATCAGGACTCCATCTGGACTCTGAGCCACTGACCACAACCCTCTGAATGTGACCATTCAGCCAATTTATTATCTATCTAACAGTCCACCTACCAAATCCATCTCTCTCCAATTTAGAGAGAAGGATGTTGTGGGGCACTGTGTCAAACACTTTACAAAAGTCCAGCTAAATGACATCTGTAGCCCTTCCCCTGTCCCCTGATGCAGTCAGCTCCATCAGAGAAGGCCACTGGGTTGGTCAGATAGGATTTGCCCTTGGTGAAGCTGCGCTGACTGTCTCAAATCACCTCCCTGTCCTCCATGTGGTTTAGTGTAGCTTCTAAAAGGTTTTGTTCCATGATCTTCCCAGGAAAAGAGAGAAGGCTGACAGGCCAGTAGCTCCCTGAAAGGACAGTCCTCCTTTCTACCCTATTAAAAGATGGTGTCCTGGGGTGACTGTATGATACAACGCTTCCCCTTCCCAGTCACTTGGGACTTCACCTGCCTGCCATATTAAAACATTACAGCATCATAAATTTCCTTTTATTTTGATCATATCTATTTTACTATTTTTGAACTAAGTTTCTGACCTAAAACTGGTGCTGTAACACTTTTACCCTGAACTTTAAACTTTTACAATGGCTTGCAATAACATGTGTGTTAAGTGCTTTAAAGTCCATGCTTTATTACCGTCGTCATTCAGTGGCAGGGGCTGTGCGTAGGGTGTGTGGGAGGAGGGGGAAAATCTGACATTGGAATTCTTGGCAATAAGTACCTTTAGTATTCTAATCTGAGCCTCTCCATCATCTTTTTCTTGTTTAAGGAGTTTCATGAGCTCTTGAACATTTTGTTCATGTTTGATTTTCACATTTTGTAACTCTGATCTAAGATCTGCCAACTCCTGTTGGTGAATTTCTCTTTCCATCTTCAGCTGCCTGTTAGCTGAAATCATCTCTTCATGACTAGATTCCTGCTGTTTCTGGAGGTCTGAGAGGCTCTTAAGTAATTCCTTTTTGGCTTTCTCCTCTTCTGCAATTCTGTTTGTTAGTTCCACACGGACAGCACTTAAATGTTTTACATCTGCTTGCATTTCTAGGAGTCGTTCTTGGTCTTTTTTATGAAACAAGTTAATAGTTGCAAGTTCTGTCTTCAAGTGCTCCTTCTCAGCTTGCATTTGGTTTTGTAGAAAGACTTGCTTTTTCAACTCATTCTCCAATTTTTTTACGGTACCTTGAACTTCTTTGATCTCTTCTTCAAGAGATACCTGGTGTGACTCCATTTCATTCAGTTTTACCTCTTTACAGTGGAGGAGTTCTTCCTGCTGGGCTCTCTTTGTAAGCACATCATTCAGCTCTTTCCGCAGGTTTTCTATTTGATTTATAGCCGAGAGAAGCTGACTTTTGAGATCATCTTTTTCTTTAAGGGCCTAGGAAAGAAAAAAAATCCATTCTGATCTGAAGCAATTAAAGACAATTGTTGGAAGGATATCCTTAGACATCAGGAATGTCTATGGAACAATTAACATATGTATGTGAAAATACAAAATTTTTGCTTGCGACGAACTCAGTTCAAATGTAGTCAGTGTTTCTTTAAATTTACACACTTTAGATCATGTGCAATCTCAAACTTGGACTCGTCCTTAAATTACATAGCCTTCTAAATAGGGATAGTTCTGGTTAATTCTCTGCTTCTCACACTCTCTCTTTGCAGACTGAGAAGTGTTTCTTTATTGGCTCCTCCAGAAAACAAGATGGAGAAAATAAGGTAATAGAGTAATGCAGCAGCATACAGGGATGACTACTGGAAATATAAAGCATACCTATGGTCCATTCCATATGCTGACTTATTTTTGTTTATTTTCTAAAATATTACATAGGAAGCATACTAGCTTTAACTTCTGTTTGAAATTATGCCCAGTAGATGAATTAGTAGCAGTTAAAAGCTTGATTCACTTATGCATCAAAGCCAAGAAATAACGACATCATCTCCTAAATAGAAATCAATCAAATGCAATAAAATAATAAAAAATTCCCGTGTTTTCCTAGGATCTTGAGGGCTTGGGTGTTCAACATTGATATATTTAATGTAAAAATTAGCAGAGAATCACAGAATGTGCAAGCTTGAAAGGACCGCAATGAGTCATCTGGTCCAACCTCCCTGCTCAAGCAGACTTTTCCTACAACACAGACACAGGATGGCATCCAGATGGTTCTTGAGTATCTTCAGTGAGGGAGACTACACAACCCATTTGGGCAATCTGTTCCAATATATCAGATTCTTTCAACTGACTTAATAAATTTTATACTAAATTTTACTGAGCATTTTCATCAATTCCACAAGCAACACACATTTCTTATGGATATAGCAAAATAACTTGAAACAATCCAGAACAAAAAGGCAATTAGGGTTAAAAGCGTGCAGTTAAAAATAATAAAACAGTTTGCAATTACAACAAGAATAAGCAACACAAAGCAAAATACAAATGTAATAAATTGAGGACATGGACTGATGACCATCATGGGTTTTTCCAGAAAAAAAAAACCTACCCGACAAAAAGACTCTCCTAAACCTATCTTGTAATTCTACTGGAAGAATTTGGTTTAAAAAACTCAAAGCACCACCAAAAACCAAACAAAAACAAAACTCCAGTAAAATTTCAAACTACAACCTATAAGTTACTTGCTTTGAGTATGTTTTCTACATTACATAATTTAAAGAACATATGTTTCAAAAGATGTCAGAAACTCCACTGTCAAACAATATTAAGGACAACTACATGGGCAAAACTTCAACCAAATTATCCCAGTAATTCCAAAAGAATGAAACCTAAACAATCTTTGTATAGCACATTTGTTGTCTGCCAATATTTGAAAAATCTCAAAATTGCAAGCTATGATTGCAACCCAATTTTGAAAATTTTCCATCAACCCTCTGAAGTCTTCTAACAGAAATCAAAGAAAACAAACTGCCTTTATTGTTTTTACAGATTTCTTCCTTTATTGTTTTTACAGATTTTTGTCTCAATTGTTAATTGTCTGCATTTCAAAGGTAGTTAAATTATGTTCATCTAGCTACCTCAAGTTTATACTAAATGCTGCACCTAGATTGATTATATCTCTATAGGTAAAACTGCTTCCAACTCTATATTGAGAACATGAAACATTGTTTGTACTTTTTTCTCCTTCACAATGACACACAGTTCATTTAATCTTCTATATCTTAAAATAAAGAAACTTTCTTCATCAGACAATTACCTCAAACCTGTTGGCAGGATGGTCACCACTTCAAAAGTAAAAACAAATACTGACAGCATTTCTTAAATGGAGCTTAAGCCAAAGTTTAACCACTGCATTTAGCATATGAATATACTTGCCACATAAAAAGAGGAAAAATCCATATTAAAGAATCTTACATAACAAAGAAAATTTCAACATGGAAAGAGTTATCAAGTGCCTCTACAAAGACCAGCCTATGTGTTTACAAGAACAGTGATTCCAGAACCTTTCTGGGAACTACTGCTTCTTATTCACAATTTGTTTCTACTTTTTGCTTCTTATTTGTCCATTTCATAGACACCCATGTTTTTTTAAATGATTCAGGTTTTCTTCCTCTCCTTACAACCTCCATTTTCTTAGGCAAGACTGACCAACTTCTTACATGCTTAAGAATCATGTAAGAATGACCACAGCATCCCAGAATTCCCACTTCTTCCTGGTCAAACCACCACACTTACTTTCCCAGACAAGCACTAGGGCAAACAAATACAAGATTACTATAAAATGAATTGCTGGAGCATGGAAAGAGGAAATAATAATAAAAAGTAAGGAATATGATAGGCAATAGGAAAGAAATAGCAACACCAGGAATCAAAGTTTAGTTTTGCTACATTTTATTAATTTCAACTCAGTGATAGCCCCATTGTGACTTCTCCTGTGCTTTGACCATGCTTGTACTCATGAACCACTCTCAGAACAGATTGTTGGATCAGAAACAACACAGGATTAATAGACATCCACCACTGCATCCCATTTAGCCCTTGAAAACCTCAATCTTTGAGCAAAACAAAACAGAGGATGGAGCCCTCTCAAGCCCATCACATTCAGTAACTTAAACTGGAAGGATGCCATGAGAAAATATGTGAAAAGAGTATAGCACTGTAAAACAAAAGCCATACAATATGACAGACTGCACCAGCAGAGCATGTAAGTTAAGATAAAAGCTCACAGCATAGAGTTAAGCACTATATCAGCCACTATAGAAACAAACTCTTGTCAACAGAATCGTGGTTTCTATCATTATTCTGATAGAGGATGATAAACATTAGCATTGATGTGCTTGTCTTTAAAACAGTGTCAGCAACTGAACAAATAATTCTAAGTCAAAACCAAAAAAAAAAATAAAAACTATGTTTTTTCCTGAGAAACTCTAGAGGAGGAAAAAAAGAGGAATAAGTGGTCTGCCATACTGAACAAAGACAAACGAAAACCTCAGAAATGTTACACAATCAATTTTCAAATTGATTTTTTAAAGAAAAAGTTCTGAAAATTATACAGAAGAGGTCCAGAACTTAAAGCAGAAAGCAGTTTAAGTCACAGTTTGCATATAAACTCCTTCTCTTCATTTTCAAAACAAAGGGAAATGGTACCAAAAAAAATCAACAAATCTTACCTGACTATTCTTGTCCATCAGTTCACTGATAGTTTGATTTTGCTTTTCTACCTCACGATCCAGTTTCTTGCACTTCAATTTCCATTGGCGGATGGTTTCCTGGGCTCTCACCTTCAAATCCTCTCTTTTTTTCTCAATCTCCAGCCTGAGTGCCTCTGAGTGCTTGAATTCACTGAGATAGCGTTCTGCTTCCTTGGTACTCTCTTCAACCTGCTGAGCTAACTCAGCAGACTGGAGTTCAGTTTGTCTGCGTCCACTCTCACAAGCCTTGTAGCAATTCTCTATCTCCTTTAGCTGATCCAGCATTTTTTCCTGTTGCTTCTCCCTGTTTTCCAGGTCAGATGTTAACATCTGGAATGATAATAGCAAAATACAAACATTCTCTAAAGATGTGCAGTATGAAACTTTATCAAATAACATACAGCAACATTAAATCACATTTTTACTAAGTATGAACAGCATAAAAGATCTTCTTGACTATCAAGGAAAATTCTGTTAGCCCAGAGAATCTCCCCCTCTGCAAGAGTAAAGAATTCCAACACAAGATGTAGAATACATACTACTCAATTCTTTCTGCATTTTTTCCTCTTCTAGTTGTTCTTGTTATTTTTCTGTATTCTAAGTTTGAGATCAATCATTGACTATATATTACACACTACACAAATAAGAAATAAACCAAATAGTAAGATATAAGGAGATTAATGTAAACAGATGAGAGGAAAAGAATAACTGGAAAGGACAAAACAGCAGTCACCACAACAACTGGAATTTATAGTTTATGAGCTAGTTGTTACCCAGTTTTATGCTGGTTGCCTGTATGAAAACAATATGCTAAATAAAGGTATATTTCTTAGCATTGAATACAAAGAGAATACAGCAGCTTGGTAAATGCTTCTAGAACAAAGTGCAAAGATGTTTGAAAGTGTCAGAGGCATATATAAGCCTTTCAAAAATTAATTAAATTGAAAACACACATTTTAAAAATAAAATATTCTCTATTTTTCAAATCATATTTCTCTGAACAGTCTCATAAGAAACTCAGGAATAATAGTGTCCACACACATTCTGAAAGGACATGCTCAGAAATCAGTTTTTGAAGTAACACTAGCAAAATTGTATTTTTCTGAGATCATGACACAGAAATTCACATTAGTATTCTGCATTTTGGGCCTATTTAGACTGCTTTCATACCATTCAGCCTTTTCATTATGAAAGACAAATTTGATAGACCTGATCTATAGCCAGTCAAACATATTATCAAGCCACAGGGGACTGAAATAATTTTAAGAGGATTAGATTTCAGAATGACTGAAAAAAACAGCGGATGTAGCCTGAAATAAACAGACTGCAATTCAGAATGGATAAAGGAAAATTATTTTATCTATGAAAGATTGGGAAACTTTACAGATGGACATAGAATGACTAATTAGACAAGGATACTTCCACAAGGCTGGGGGAAGGAGGAGATTGGGTTTGTTGTTAAGGGTGTTGTTAAGGGCTCTCTCCTTGTCAGTTTGTTAGTTTGGGGTTTTTTCTCTGTCCAAACCAGGCCAACATCTCCTGGCAGGCAGCAAATTGTACCAATCTCTTTGAGACAGCATTTGCTGTACTAAAAAGATAACCAAAACAAGCTCATAAGCTACAACTAGCAAAATTTAAATCAAAACAAGCTTAATTTCCAATGAAAACAGATTAACATACTTCTTTAAAGACAAAGATTTAAATTGAGTATAGCAGAAGTTAAAAATAACCTCATAAAATACAATCAGATAGTACATTTACCGTTCCACAGATTTTCTAAAACGGGTCATCATTTTTTTAGTCCTATGATTACACATGCTATTATCACTTCCTATTTCATGTCTTTCTGGAGACCATAAAGGATGTCAGACTAAATTCATGTAGTACTCAACACTGCACCACAAAAAAATAGTTATTTATATATAATTTCCCCAGAGTACACACTTCATTAACAAAACTACTGCTCCCACAAACTTTTTAATGAAATATGAGTCTAATCTTAAACACATAAAATAATATTCAATTAACTGTAAACATTCCCCTTATCGTGTAGAAGTAAATCAACCTCCAATTTATTGATTTACAGTATAATAAAGAGGAACATTTGTTTTAGGTATTTACCTTGATGCAACTAGTTTATCAACCCGAACTATTTGCATGAGGAGGAAAACTGGATTTTGACATGAATGTACCAATATGAAGTGACTTTTAATGTTTTATTTTTACAATATGTGTAAATAAGATAAACCTTAGCAAAGAGTTTGCACTTTGCTTAAAAGAGTTAAGCCAGCACAGACCCAACAGTTGAAATCAGGTAGAAAACAGCATAACAGCAAGTCAATATTTCATGAAGCCAGCCGTGTAAAGCAAGAGGACAGAGAAAGTATCTCCACACTCTGTTTCTATATCAAAACAGAAGTCCCAAATGGACTGATCTGTACTTTTGAATTCCTAGTTATGTGCAATAAATGTGTATCTCTGTGTTAACATGGGTGCAGTTGCCAAAATTCTTTCTAATCTATAAGGGCTTGCACTACTGCCATTTAATTGGCCGACAACTTCATTTGTAGAAGAAAAAGTAAAAGTAAATTTTAGTGAGAATATGAATCAATCTTTATAAAACTGAAAGATTTATATAACTGAAGAATTCTAACATTAATTAAACATATCAATACCCTCAGAAAACCTGAAATATTTTAACAAACTGACTGCTGTACTGGACAATACTATAAGAATACTAACACCAAATCCAAATGAAGAGTAATTAGTAAATCAAACAAGTTTCCAGGCTAAAAGAGTCTAAAAAACTCTAAAGACTCTAAAAATACTTACGGAGAAAGTAGGGTATAGCATCTTTGTAATTTGTGCACTTTAATTATTTCTTAGTCATAATAGTTAAATCTTAACATTTAGCCACAACAGCCCCATATCTATTTGGCTTCATGCAGAAAAATGACTTGAAGATGATTGTAAACATTTGGAAGATAGCACAACCACTCCCTTAAGTAAACTAGAGTAGCTGAAATAAATATTAAATTTAAAATCAAATTGAACTAAGATTGAACTCACTTCTAAACATGAGTTTAAGAATATGTTTTAACGTTTTTCATCCTGTTCATTTCACATCACACTGTAATTTTATGGAAACTGTAGGAGGCTAAATGTACAACACACACAACTCAAATTGTTGGAAACAATGATATTTTAATAAATCAAAAGAAATTTCTAATATCCCATTTACATCAGAGGCAAGTTAGATTCTCCCCACTAAACAAAGATAAATCACACCCAAGTCAAACATGACTGGTCACTTCCAACTGGGAATCAGACTATCTGATAGGAGCAGCTGTCAGAACAGGCTTGACAAAATGCTTTGTTAGTACACAAGTTTAGAAATTCACATCCTTGCATTCCTTGATGTCTCATTAAAAGAAAAACACACTAGCTATTTTCCTGTTACTGCCCCTGTAGGAGAACGGCAGTGGGAAGCAGATAAGAAGTACAAAGTATTTTCTGTTGAGAAAATGAGGGAAGTCAAAGATTTCTAACTCAGAGAAATGACAATGACCCCAACTGAGCACTATTGCATGAGTATTTTCAGGGCAGGAAATTAATATTATAAAATCATTCTGACCCTTAAGAAAGCATGTTCTACAAGTAGAAGTTTAAAATAATTGGGTTTATGTGGGTTCTTACCCCATTAATTCCTGTCACCAAAATAATTAGTTTCCCAGGCACAACAAAACCAAAACCCAGAATGTTTTCAGTTACTCATGGGTTTTATTTACCAGCTAGAATACAAATGCTGATGGACACCAGGAAATGAGTTCTGCTCATCTTACCCTCTACAGAAACACTTCAGGTTCTTTTAAACCTATTCAACAACCGAATTTCATAAAGCACGTAGGAACTTATTTTCAGAAGGCCATTTTTTTCCAAAAGTAATTTGATGTATTAATTTGATTTAAATCAGGAGAGAACTGACAAGGTAACAGAAGTAAACTGAAGAGTATAGTCCTGTAAATCTATAAAGACAAAAAAAATCAATTCCTACATTTGAATTTCCAAAGATATGCAATATCATTTCATAGATAAGTACCTTCATTAGGAAAATACATACAAAATTCCTTGCTTACAGAATGCCAAAATACAAGCTGAACAAAAAGTAAAATCTTGACTACTGAAATAGTACACATGGTTTTGCAAACTCTTTTCTCTTGACAGTCACGGTAGACAGAAGAAAATTGTTACTGTTCAGCCATTCTACTACCAATGACAAATCTAGGCAAGAGCAAGAAACACAGAAATTTCCCATCTTAAATAAGAAGGCTATTGCCTACTTGGATCTCGTTTTATGGTCAAAATCTTCTAACTAAAATTCCAGTACAAAAGGCTGCTCTCATCCTTCTCATAAAGAATCACATTAAACATTCTAATATGCTTACCATAAAGAAGACTACTAATACCTATGATTATATTACTATATTGCATTTAATTACTAAAAAAAGGGAAATTGTGACCTACTTTTGTTATTCCACTACACTCTCCTATAGAACAAGGCATTTCAATTTTTAAAGTTGAACTTCAGTTCTGTGGAATGATGGAATAGGGAATAAGAAAGTAAGTACTACCTTATAAAAGTAGTTCCAAAAACCATTATTAACAGTAAGTGCTGATAAAATCAGATCAACTTTTCTTTGCACATGGGAAAGATAAGTAATCCAAACCATGGAATCATTGGCAAGAGCAAATACCTTTTTTAGTATTACATGGGAGAGAAAAAAGTTGGCAATTTTCAAACTTTACACAATAAATAATGAGCATGACAGTTACTCTCAGTTTTAAAGGTTAATCCCTAATCTGATACATCACCTAATGTTAAACAGATGAGAAATTATTTAAAAAACAAAAATGCCACCAAGCAAAAAGCAGCAAAACTCAACTTACCTGTATGTGCATCACAAGCTGTGCTTTCTCCTTGTCCTTACGCTCTACACATCTCTTCAGTTCTTCTACCTCTGACATTACAGCATTATGACTCAGCTTTGCTTTAAGTTCCAAAATATGTTTCTCTAGATCTTGCTTCTCTCTCTCATATCTTTCAGCTACTATAAAACAGCAAGAAAAGAGCAACACATTCAGTAGAAATACCAACTCATGGTAAATTAATTTAATCTCAATTAATTTTTGGCAATTTGTTTCTCCACTTGAGACTATTCTACAACTATTGATTTTCACCAAAATATCTGTGAAAAATTGTATACCTGTATCATAAGCTAATAACATTTTAATAACAATAAAACAGTACTTCTCCAACATTTTATAGGGGTTTCCACTCTTCCTCCTGCACACAGCTGCTCCCCTCAAATAAAAAGCCAACCAAAACAACAAAAGCTGCAGCAAAACTGAATAAAATAAAATAGAATGGAAGAAACAGTGGGGAAGTTCTGGTGTAAATGAAATTTGGCCATCACTTCCAAGGCCAAGGTTTTATCTCACCAGAGTAATACCTCCCAGTTTGAAAGTCACATTATCTGTGAATTTTATGTCTGAATCCTGAAACTACAACCAAAGATTGTGATAAGAGTAAGCTATAAATTCTCTCAATCAGAAATTCAAAGGTCTTAAGTCATAAATAACTACTGGAGGCAAAGGGAAAAAAATCTCTACTTGTCTTCTTCCCATATATCTTTGATGAAAAAGGAATAACACAGCAAGGTGAAACACAACAGCAAAAATTATACAAATGTATTCATGTATTTTAACATTTACAGTACATTATAACTTTCCTCATATTTTTACAACTGTTTTATTAGATTAATAGGAAAGTTAAAATATGCTTTTATTAATATGAAAGGCATATTGCTCCAAATAAACTAACTTTTAGGCAGATACATTAACATGATTGGAGAAAAAACTATTGAAATTATTATTTTGCATTACACTTCTGAAGCTAAGCCCATTTCCAGTGCTCTGAGGTTTGTAAAACATGGAGTCAGAGTCCTATTTTAAAAACGAAGCTATTTTTGTACTTCAGCTTCTGAATTAAGAAAATATGTCATTAGTCAAACCAATTAAATAGTCCCATAGACAATGGACTCTAGAATAGAGTCATTTTTTCTCTATTACCTTGAGTAATACATTGCTATGCTAATAAGGAGAAAGATAAAGACTTTCTCTAATACCTATGTGATTATGTTTGAAAAGTTTAAATACAGATAGATAACTAGCAATTAATTGAAAACCTTGCTAAAGTGGTAATTTAATATGCAATTATATCTCGAAATTGTTTAAAGTATTTGTCTTCTAAATAAAACTATTCCAACTCTAAAACCCTAACATAGTGCAAACAGAAGCTCTGACTGCATCATACAGAAAAATTTTCTAAAGCACTCAGGAACATGTAGCTTAAAAATTCTAGCAGAAAGTCATCAGCCTTATTAACTACCTAATCAATGACTCATGTTATCATTTTCAAAATGGCAGAATTCAAACTGCAAATGGACTGAAATGCCCGTTTTCTGGAAAATTATTACTTAAAAATAATACATGTTTTTCTTCTGTAAAAACACCATTCAGTTTGCTGAAATTGTCTCATCGGTTTTAACCATGCAAGTCAAAATATTTTATCATAAATTAATTGTCATTGCTATTTGTCTGTTAATATTCAGGTGCCAATATGTATTAACTTAAATCTGAGGAATTAATTGGCTGGTTTTGTCAAAACAATAGAAGAATTAGACTGCAACTCTAAGATAAAATTAATATCCATGCCCACTAACTAGCTTGCAGGTCTCCAGTGTAAAATATTAGCTGTACCTGCTCTAATTCTCCTGTCATCATCCTGTGCATCCTGATAGCTCTGGCGATGCATAGCAGCATAAGAGATTTGATGCTGCAATTCTACACGGTCTTCTTCTGCTCTCAAAAGCTGAGAACGAAGATCTTCAATCTAAAATATATGCACAAGCATCAAAAGTTAATGAAAAACAGAACAAAAAACATAAATAGCATACTTCTATTAAACACTGAAAAATATTGCACACGAAAAATATTTATAAATACATCTTGAGAGTACTGCAGATGGTAAACAAAAAGACAAACTACTTCCTAATTACAGGCCATAAATTAATTATTCAAAATTAAAGGAAACCTTTTAATTTATGTTGACCACAGATGAGCATTAATTTCTTTAGACCAAACAAAATGCTACCATATTATATGTTGCAATTGTCTTTTCTCATAGCTAGTGAAAATGTCTATCCAAATTTAATAAAGAGTATGTTTTATTTAAATTGTGCTCCTTAAAAATACAATGTATTTATTCATAAGAAACACAGGGGTCTTCACATTTTCCTTTCTATGATATACAGTATAGCACTTACAAAGATGACATGTAGGAAAATAGAGAAAATCGAACATGCTGAAGTTGAATTGAAGAAAAATATCTGTTATTCATATTAATCTATATGCCATTTACAATTATTTAAATTCAAAACAGTAATATAGCTAACTCAAAACTAGTATTCTGCTAGATACACAAGACAAACAACTAATGCTAAAAGATGAGAATGCCAATTGCCCCCTCCCTAGTTATTTCAGTCTTTTTATCCAGTCCCTCTAAAGGAAAGATATTTAGGACAAAGGAATTCTTTCTGAAGTCATAATCCAAATTCCTACAAATTTTGAATTTAATCATACATGCATCAATAGCTATTGTTTAAAGCACACTTTAGATACTTTTTCAGGTAATTATTTACTTTTATTACATGTTACAATGTACCAAATACCTCTAGGTCACTGATTTATCTGATTTCACCAATTATAGCATATGCTTTGCAGAACAATGATTACTAATATAGGAGTAGTTCTAAAGTATATTATGAAAGGAAATTTCACAAAATGTGTTTATGTACTGAAAACATACCATTACTATCACTATTATAATTAATATATAGGAACACATACACATAAATGTTTGGAAAGCAGAAAAAGGATAACGAGCTCAGTCCACATATTATACACACTTAAACCTGTCTTCCTATACCTCATGCCTTCCTTCATAAAACCATTTTATCAGAGTATGAGATAAGAATACTAAACAAAAAGACTCAGACACAACCTAATATGAAAACCTTAGGATTTTTACCACACTAAAGCAGTTACCTGATGCAAAAGAGCTTCTCTACTGCCTTCAGATTCACTCAACTTTTTCCGGGACTGCTCCAATTCCTGCTCAAGCTTGCATTTCAGAGGATGATGAAAAAAGAAAAGCAATGTAGGCATCATAATATAAAAGTGTATTTTAACATTTAATTTTGACACAAATTCATCCACATAAGCATCTATCTAAAATGTGGTATAATATACACACTATTTTTATTTGTCCAAAATTTTAAGTAAACCTTCATTTGTAATAAATCCCTGCAATATTTATTTAAATTACATAAAGGGAATTTTACTTACAGTCTATAATTTTTCCACAAATATATAAATTTATTCATAAAGATATAAAATAATTAATATCACCCAAAACAAAAAAAATCACAAAAGTAAATTTTTACTGGGTTTAAAGAAAAAAAATGGAAGATAAGTTTTAACAAAGTTTCAAAAACATTGTCCCTGGATTTGAAACATACTTTCAAACTCAAAATTAATAATGACTTAATATTTTAAGTCACCTTTGGTAAGTATTTTATTCCTAGAAGTGTTAAAGATGACACGCATTGGTAGAACTGTAATTGGTAAAACCTATGGGGTTTCTGTGTTGCGCAAGATGATGTATTTGAATTGTTCTGGAAACAAGATGACTAAAAATTGAAGTGCCCTAAATTTAATAAAACTGAAAGTTTTCCTAAAGACATAATATTCAAAATGTGTAATCAGAAATAGTCATCAAATCGATGACCATGAAAAAAAAAAGAAACGAAAGCAAAAGCTTCAAAATATTTTTTGACTTCTTCCATAAATAGTTCAAAGATCCACTTGAAAATAAATAGAGGTTTTGACAGCAGAAATTGTTATTGTTGAGATAGCAATCTGAAGGAGGATGTTGAAAGCCTGGCAAATGGGCAAAGTAAACAGGACCAACATTAAGGGAATGAAGAGAACAACATAACATAAAACACTACATAAAACACTACACTACATAAAGGCTTGGCATGAAGGGGTATTCCTTTGAAAGATGCTAAACTTGATGCAAGTGGAAAAAAAACCAAGGAAAGCATAATATAGCCCTAGCATCCTGCTAGAACAGAAATACAAGAAATTTTCTTTTCTATGAAAAGAAAGAGTGAAATATGGCAACAGTTCAGTAAGAGTAATTAATAATAACTATGGTGCAACATAACCAGCATGAGCTAGTTGCAGGGATGAAGAAAAGCTGCTTTGAGCTCCTGCAAATAAGAAACAGCAGACTACATACAAATTCAGAGACAAAGTAGAGAAAGAAATCAAGGATTATGCCCAAGTTATAAATTTGTCTGCCTGACAGGATGGAAGAGCCATTAGAAGTAACATACTATAACTGAAGAGCTTTGAAGCAGAGACACAAGCTGAGCAAAGCTATTTCACAGTGCCTCTGATGCAGGAAAAAATCCCACACCTTGAATTCTTAAAGAGTAAAGAAAGTTTCATTCTGCTGGTTTCTCAGAAAAAGAAAGCATATACTGTAACAGATGACACTATACACTCATTTAAAATCAAACAAAAAGGAAAAATTAAAGTCTTACCTGGTGCTTTTCACTTTCATACTTCACAAGTTTATTTCTCATGAGTTCTTCTGCTTCATCTGCTTTAACATCTTGCTTCCTTAAAACCTTTAGAGGAGAAAAATATATTGCAAACATCATCACAAAATTTACAGAAGCCAGCATTCCAAGGTTGTTAAAATAAAGAATTTTAAAAATCTTTAAAAATAAAAATTTTTAAAAATAAAAAAATTAAAAATTTTTAAAAATAAAGAATTAAAGAAAGAAGATCTAGACAAATGCTTTCTGTCTGCATCTAATACTTCCATGTAAAGCCAATGTATATTGTTATGAAAAGATAAATATAAGTTCATGCATACATAAACACACCCATGCAGAGAACAGGGACAAACACAACGTCTAAAGCAGCACTAACATCCTTCCGATGTATAGAGCTCCAGACTCTCAAGTTGACCCCAAACACCTTTAGATTAAGGTCTAAAAGGCTCAAGAGATCCCCTACAGATTAGCTGTGCACATATAAGAGAAAAATAATATATTCTCTAACATAAAGTGTGCATGTTATGAAATTCAGTGCACTGTGGTCAAGAAAACACTACCATAAGGTTGTGTGAGAAGTCAAAAACAAAAAAAGGAAAAGTTTCTTTTTTTCTGAATCTGGACAGATCCTTAAAGCCATAGAACTACAGCTGAATCAACTGAAACTTTCCTGATCAATAATTACCAACACTGATGTGCCCTTCCTTGACAACAATAACAAAAAAAAAAAAAATTCCATGGAGACTTTTCCCATTCCCTCTCAGACTGAGGTATCTAAAATCACATTGGGTCATTTTAAATATCACTTAGAAACATCAGCTGAAAGAGATCAGTAGCCACACACTGATAATTTGCCATGAATTTCTGTAACTGTTCATAAATCACAGTTTTTATCTGCGCAACGTGACCAAGCATTTTTCACACTAGTCACAAATCAATTAATTAGGTACCTGACCACAAATCTTTTACTTTCATCCCACATCTCGAAGCATAAGCACATTTATTGCTTTCATAATTACTTGCTAAAACAACAACGGAACAACAACAAAAATGCACAGCTTTTCCAGAAAGAAATTTCTTTTTCCCAGTCTGTCATTCCCAAGCAGCATTTTCATTTTACATTTATAGGAAAATCTCTTCTTATCTTCCTTGAAATCTGTCCCTATAAATTGTGCCATTTCATTCAGTTTTGAACATTTTCTCTTCACTGTACACAGAAGAGCAATTTCAGTGTATGAAAACAGAATACAAGATATTAATCAACTTCAGTGAGACCAGGCATTCAGCTTAGAAGTTTTGGCTTTAAAAGCAGCTTTCTGGAGAAAATAAATGGCTTTATATACTTACCTTCCTCTTACAACCTCACCTCAGAAAACCTAAGGGTTTCAGTACAGTTTGGATTACTCTTCTGCCTGAACAGCTTACATTAAAATCTGAGACCATGGAAGGCATTAATCAAAACTATGTCACTGAAAAGACTATACCACGTAAAGAGTTATACTTTTAGTCATACTGATCCCTAATCAGATAATAGAAGACTGTAGCACATTTAAGGTACTTTCCTAAATAATCAGTAGAGATTGAAATCTATCATTCCAGTCAACTATAAAACTCAACACTGCATACATTTTACTCAAAAAGGCTCCTGAGAGAAGTCCCAAAAAGCAACATGAACAAAAGCCTAAGATCATCTTTTCAGCTAATGCTGTTTTGCATTACTCAAGTTCATTGGGTTTTTGTTTTGGCTTGCATTTTTTTCTTTCTTCATTTTTAATGACAAGAAGTATCGGTTCAGAACAGCCCAATTGGAATATATGATGTCTATTAACTGCAGTCAACCATCAGTTTTACTAGCAAAATTAGAAGCTTTGCTATAGACAGTCAAATTTAGGCCAATTTGATTTTTGGCACTAAATTAATAATTAATATAGTACCAAACGCACACGTTATCATGTACAAATTTGGCTAGAGAGGTCAGAATCACAAAGAATATATTACAGCTGGGCTGGATTCAGGAATACTAGTAAAATTTTCAAAGATTATTCCTGCTAAAAGCAAAAAATCTCTGCATCAGTAGCACATCCTAATTCCCAGAATAAACCATGGAAATAAATATGCCATTTCAACTTCACTGACTGATATTCAGGCTATTAAAGAGGAATCATTTCAAACAGAAATGCATCCTTTACTATAACTGATATTATAAATATAACCTTCCATTTTATTTTCTGCATATTGCAAAAATAGCCCATAGCCATTTCATTTTAAGGAAAATAACAGCTCATATATATAGAGAGATACAGATAGATATCACAGAGTTAAAATACTGCAAAAAAGAAGTAGTGTTACAGTAAATGAAACATACTACATGTGCACTGCTTGGAGTGTGAAACCTGCATTGAACCAGTAGGTGCCAGGTAAGCAGTTAATCAAAATGTCATGAGGCAATGGAAACATCTGATCATGCATAGCCAGACAAACGTCAGCTCATACTGACAATTCAGAAATTGTACAGGTAAAAGTTAATTGTGTTTTGCCTCCTTTCTGTCCTCTTTTTTAAATAATTCTCTCTTGTTGTTTTGGGCTACGCTCATTGTTTCACCACTAAAGATTGCTATATAAGCTTTCTCTTAGGAGGGGTAAAAGAAAAAACCAAACAACACATTTAAAGATCCAGCTGATTCTTTGATTTCATTTGCTGTCCCCAAAGAAGGGGCTGAGGAAGTCAAATGTCAAAAATGGGAACTAGGAAAAGGATGCTAAGGACAGCAGTTCAAGCACACACTCCTCCCTGATGGCTCACAAACAGCAGGCAGACACTGCCCAGAGAAGCTGAAGCACCAAGGAATGGCACCAGGCCTGCAGTCAGCAGGATCCTCCTACCAAGATCCTCCTCTGAAAGCATTTGTGTCCAGATTGGTCTGGAAGAGACTGACAAGGTTGATGAAGCCTTGGAGGAGGCAGGTATATTGGAAGCCACAGGAGACAGAGAACTTTCATGTACAGAGGTCTTCACAGCATGTCTGTGGGAAGGACCAGCCACAAGTTCCACTGCCTGCTAGGTGGTCAGACTAGATGAACTTTTGATTTTACTAAGGAGGGCAATTCTTATAGGACTTTATAAAGAGCTCACTAGCATAAGACAGCATTAGAATACAAATGTAACTGGTATATCCCAACTGAGCATACCTCATCCATACACACAGAATATCTGTTGAACCTCAAAACTTCAAAATCTTAACTTACTGCTTCATAGATTAATTTTTCTTATACATGAGAAAAACTATGGGGATGATTGTGAAACAACTCAAGTTCTCAATCTTTCCAACATATGGTAACCTTTCAAGAGCAAATCATAACTTTTACAGCAACTTAAGCCTACTAACTTTCCTTAGGATTTGGGTTTTGGTCTCAGTTTGGTTTTGCTGTATTGTTTTTTCTTTTTAAATAAAACCAGACTTTTTGAAAGCTGTGTACAGACCACAAACTGAAACTTGCTCTTTCAAAGTGAGACTGATCAGTGAGTGTTTCATACTATCACAAACATACAAACAGAACAGCCACAAGCTATAATTTAAAGTAAGGCAAAAATGTACCACATCCTAATCTGAATGAAAACACTTTCCCTAACTTGCTACATTAGTGATTAGCATGACTCCAAGTATGCTACCTAAACATACCAGCCAGGCAGTTAAAAAGAGACTACCTAGCTATTTCAGTGACAGATATGTATGAGACTTGCTCATGTTCCAAGCAAGAGTCAGATTCAAACTACAATCAAAACAGAAACCATTGGCCACAGGTGGCATAGCACAGAGCCAAAGAGCAAGTATCGACAACGCTCTAAAATATCCAGGTGCCTCAGAGCACAGATCAAGTTTATGTTTGTCTAAAAAGATCAGTGATAAAGAAATGCAAAAAACATTGTTCAATAAGACTTTTGACCATCAGTTTACCCCACCCTCCGTCCACCAGCTTCTTGCAGTTCACAGTATTTGCAGTGGAAGGCAAACAGAGTCTAAGTGTACAGTTGCACTAGGAGAAAGTTAAAAAATGCTTCCTGGCCTACCCAAGTTGCTAGCTTAAGACATAACTGCAGTCACTGCCTTACCACAGTCAGTGGATTCAAAAGGTTCTATAATGATGAATCTGTTTACCTAAAGCATGCCAAGCATGAACACACAGACACATTTCACCAAAGTCCAAGAAGCCAAGCAGAGAATTTTGTAAAGCCATCCAGGACACCCAATGCACAGAAAAGAATGCAAAGAAAACATTTTTAAGAATGATACTTGATCTTGTTTTAGAAAATAGATGTAAAAATGCAAACAAAAGTAAGAGGTGATGGTGTCTTTATATAAAAAAAAAAAGAAACACTGAAGGATCTCAAGATAGTTTTCATTTACACAACAAATTCAGTTGTTACAGCAATTCACACAGGTCAATACCCCTGGCAAGAAAAGAATATTTGTTGTTCTTTCTAATCAGAAAAATGCTTATATCAGGAATATAGTAAAAATTACGATAATACGATTTGCATGAATTTGTTTGCTAATTGCTATTTTCTAATTTGCAGTAATTGCTGATTAAATGTACCAATACACACTAAGGTAAAAGAGACGTAAAATGTGCAGAAAATAGGTTTTTTACAACTACACACAGCACAGACAGGTTAAAGATTTAAAACAAAAATGCAAATTTAAAACTTAAAGATAAAATATTTTATACATCAAGCTTTCTTAATGACCAGTATACATGTAGATATCTTCCTGGTTCATAATCAGTCTATGCTTATAGTAATATGTAATACTACATTGCAAATCAGAAGTTTGCACATTATACAAAAAACTGAGAGAAAAGACAGACAAGAGAAAAGCTAAAATAAATGTATCATGTTGTGTTAGATCCTGCAAATATATAATTTAATAATTGCAATTTAGGAAGGTGATTCTCTTAAGACGGTAAAACACTGACAAACAGTGGTCAGTTACAGGCACTGCACTTCACTAAAAAAAATAGCATCTAATCCTCACAAATGTCACACAATTTCTGAATTAGAGCAACGGTTGATCACATGCAAAAGAAAAATTTTAATTCATTTGAAATCTGTAACAGGCAAACTAATGAAAAAATTATATCATTAAACAGCCACAAATGCTTTAAGTAGTATTTCTCTGTAAATCATTCAGGCCATATTAATGACAGGATTTTAAAACTCAGTCCAAACATTACCCTCCTTCCCAGTTATGTTACTTGGGAAGCATCTTGGAGAAATAAATGAAAACAGAAGTAGACCTCAATAGAACATTATGTCTGTGCAATGATTACCACAAGACTGAGGCCACTGTCAGAGTTTGGTCCATCTAACTCACAGTTTGAATTACAAAGGATGATAAACAGAGTAACAAAGTAACAAGCTCAAAATTATACAGAAACATGTTTCATCCAAATAACAACAGTAGCAAAATATTTATTTACTTTATTCTCACTAGGCTATGCAAAAGTACACAAGGCAGTTCAAATACATTTTTTCTAAAATACAGCAACTTTAACTGTATTTTAAAAAGGGGCTCCTCAGGAAAAATAATTTACAAAAATAAAATAGAATTTACAGAAGAAACTATTAAACCATCTTAATTCACAGCTGGACACCTTAAGGGAATAGAAGGTCTAGGATGTACTCAGTATTTCATATTCTTTTTGCATGAAATTCAAAAGATAAGCTACCAAGAATAAAAGGCACCCAAGCCTGGAGGCTCATGATCACACACACTATGATCATTCTCATGATCTATGAAAGATCATATGAAAATTCTTTGAACTACATTTGAACCCATTCACTTGAGTTCAAGTTTTCTTTACAAAGAAACTATGGCAGTGTCAATGTATCTTCAGAGAACACAAGACATCTTCCCTTTAAAAGGATAAAATAAGAACGTTCCATTCTGCAGATAACACTATCCAATCACACCAATGCATTAAGCATCCCTTCCCCCAATGCATTAAGCATCCCTTCCCCAGCCTGAAGAAACAACTGAAGAATCTAGAAGTGGACATAGGCATATTAAAGAGTGATGAAAACTGAAATTCAGTACACTAGTTCTTTTCACCCAACAGGGCATGAACTGGAAGGAAAATGAAACAAAAAGTCTTCCTGAAATACTGGCAGAAGGATTCCAAGCCTTTTGATAAATGTAACTTGTTATCTATATTTTTAAAAAAGCATATCATCTTCTAAAATATGACATCTTTGAACAGTCTCTAGCTTTACATGAAATATGTAGCATCATGAACAAGGTTCCTCAGTATCACCACACAGTATCAAGCCTTCCAAAAAGCTATGTTACAAATACTAAGAGTGAAAACCAAGGAATTGCATATTTATTTTCAATTTTAGTATCCTACTGCACAGATAGAGATAACATTGCAAATCTTAAGTGGAGTGAAATAAAAAGTCACTCTATGTGAAGAAACAGATTTTCCAAAAAGAAGTAAAATCAAAAAGTAGTATTTTTCATATGTTTTCTAAAACAAGAAGGAAAAAAGCTAATAGCTGTCTCAAATTTTAAATTATATTCTAAACATTTCTATTTGTCTCCTAAATAGTATTTTTTATTTCATCAGGTATTGTTGAATAAAACTGAAAGCACTGAAAAGTTGTCTGGCCACTACAAAGTGCTTTAGATTGCTTGTTGAAATAAATTAAAGTGTTCATTTGCCTGAGCAAGCGAAGTTTACCTTTTAGAAAATAAAACCTTTTAATTGAAAAAACCCAGCGAATGACTTGCTTTTGTTTGCTTAGGTTTTCAGGAAGGGCATAGGGGGTAGGTTGTTAGAAGATTTGTGGCAGTTACCAAAAAGGTCTAAATGTAGTCAAGACAATATAATGAAGGACAGAGACTGTGCTTGATATCATCTGATCAAAACAATGTGAGCTGGACTGAGCTAAAACATGTGCCTAAGATATGAGCACTGCTGCCAATTTGACAGGTACAGGCTCACAAATGCAACACATTCATAACTAAATCCAAACTACAAGGGAAGCTTTCATTTCATACCTCCTGTAATTGAAGAGACACGTGGCCCAGCTGGTCCTGGCGCCTTTCTACGAGCTGTCTTTCAGCACGCATCTCTTCTTCTATCTCCTGAAGTCTCCTCTCTACTCGTTCTGATACCTTCACAAGGAAAAAAACACATGCTGTTGGAAATTAGTGTGCCTTTCAATACATGTGAAAATATCAATGGCAAAAATGTAAATAGATCATGGGACAAAATGAAAAGAGAACACCATTTGTATTTTATTAGAGCAGATTTAGAATTGCAGAGAAAATAACTAGTTATAGCAGTCAGTACTCCAGAAGTACTCAGGCAGGGAACCAAACTGTTATCTTGCTGGCAGGATTCTCCTTTATGTGTATGCATATTTTTCTCTACAGTGGTGGCTCTACTCAAGGGTTAAATATCTCATTATCAAGGTTAGAGCAGCCTAATGTGAAGTTGCAATACGAAAGTCTTAGCTACTCTGTCACAAGCCTGATTAACCTCTGGAAGGACATTTCTTTCATATCTCCAGCCTGCAAAACAGACCAATGTTTGCCTCCTTAATGATCCAAAATCTGTGAGTAAGAAGTTGTAAACAAGAACTAAATACATGAAAATAAGTGTAACAACACAAAATAATTATATCACTTAAGCTTTTTCCCCAATATTTTGTGAATCCATGTAGAAACTAATACAAACAACAACAGGTGTTTATTAAAGCAACTTGGATTATGAACATAAAAGTTCAATCAGACTAGAATACCAGAATTACTTCACTTTTGCAATTCAAGCTGCTAGCAGACAGCACCCTCTTGAGGCAGCAAATTAAATTTGTTTCGTTAAAGATTAGTAAGAAAAATACTTATGTATCATTTCCTCCCTACCTTAAAACTAATTATTTTAAAACACTAGAAAACAATATATCCCTTACCAAATTATAATTAGATAAAAAGAGAAAGAGATAAAAAGAGATAAAAAATAAAGCACCATTTGACTATTAGCTTTTGATGTACGTGGAGATGAATAAATTCTCATCTTTCCCCATTAAGCACACTTCTATTAGGACTAGGCATATGCCTGCATAGAAAATGTTACCACAAGCAACACAATTCATGTAGCAACAGAAACACAATCAAGGCTACGCTTATAATCTGGGCTTCACAAGGCTTCATGAACAAAACACTTTCTTTACAACAGAATACGTCTCTCAGAAAACACTTCTTGTTTGTGCAGCCAGATGAACAGTCAGCTTACAGTCTGGAATATTGTATTTTTTCCTAAAACCATCAGAAGATGCCTGGTACCGCATCAAACCACACACTTTCATGAAGCTATGAAAGCCCTGCAGCCATAATCCAGAAAAATTACTTACTAAAAACTAATGTATAAAAAAACAAAAAGACCACGTGGCAATGTTTGTTTTGACAACTACCACTTAGCATTACTTCTCAGAATTAATAAAATACTCCAGCTAACAGAAACAATGATACTAGGTAGTAGGAACAGAAAATAACACTGTCATTAAACTTGTTACAGCTTTGCTGAAACCAAGCAATAAACTGTCATCTTTTCCCCCATACATATCTAACATAAAGAAATGAAACAGTAATGTTTTAACATTTTTTCAAAAAGTTTTGACTATGTTTCTGAAGACAGAAGCTTTCTCAGCTCTCTCATGCACCTTTTTCAATGAAGCACTTTCTTAATAGCTTTAGTGCTATTAAGCACTAATTTAGTGCACTAATTATATTGCACTATTAAAAAAGAAAACATATAATTTTGACAGAAGATTCAAAAGTAACATCACCCCCAAAGATGACATTCCAAAGGAGAGTTTAGTAACTATTTCACTGTCATGGGTCTAGCATGCACAGCAGATAACAGGACACAAGGCAGCACTAGACAGGCTTTAGATTCCTGCAAAGTTCAGATTTCATTACAAATTATCACTAACTCAGAACAAGTAAGAAAGTAACTTTATGAAGTGATTTGCCTTGCCTCTGACTTCCTTCAACTCACTTCCAGGATATAATTGTTGTATTATTTCTAACAAGGTACTACAAAAGATGGATTATATATCATAATATTTGTCATGGAAATTTCAGCTACAGACATAATCCTCTTTAACAACAAAAAAAATTAAAACCCCACAACCAACACAAACCACCAAACATTTTGATGCTACTTACAACTCCTATTTGTTTCCCATACTCTGTATATTGGTATGGTATTGGTAACACCTTTGCACTTCAGCAAGGCTTTAATGTCCCGTGAGAATTATGTTCCCTGTTTTTGTAGCCTCTCTGACTTTTCTAAGATTGTCACAGAGCCTGCAGCATACAACAGTAGGGATTAAAAAAAATTAGAAACAGTTAATTTATTAAGTAGTACTTTCAAAGTAAACTTACAAACATACTTGTCTTCCTTTGTTCCAAATGACCCTGACTCAGAACAACACCTCTACCATGAAACTATGTATCTTGACCTCTGAATGTTATCAAAATCCTTAGTGCTTAGTGTAGATAAGTGCTTCACCAAAGGACAGTACAAAGATTATAGAGGCCCTACACAACGACACAGAATATTAGCACTAAATTACTGCATTCAGAACATATTAGAATGTGATTTCAAGCATGCATTTTTAGCAATAGACTATCTGAATAATAATGATGATACTAGAGCTGTGTCTCCACTAAGCTTCCAGGTAGCTTAATCTGCTTTCATATATTTTGCTGCTATCAAAAAGCTCCTCTCCTCCCCCACAATTAAACACAAAGAACAGAATGTCCTTTGTAAAACTAGGGTGACATTTAAGTCACGCAGCTAAATATAATCTCATGGAAGATGCTGGATGCTTACTGTACAAAAAGCACCATTCTACTTATTGAATTTCTGACCTGTTTTTCAGCTTTCCACTGTTATTTCTAGTGCAAAAGTCCTGCTAATAGAAATCTATTTCAACAGATTTTTGCTGCTGTTCTTGCTACGACCCGTTTTATCATCAATGCAAACTTGAAACAGGAGTATTAAAATCACAAAAGTGAAAACTTTTTTCAGAGATCCAATTTTAAATATTGTTAAACTTTTCCCTCATGGCAAATGATAATATATGTTCCTTTTACAAGTCACCAGTGCAGCACCAAAATTCCTTATTCCAGATCTTCTGAGGAACAGTTAATTATCTGACAATAATCCTGGCTCTCTGAGGTATCATAACCACAGTAACTCCATGTAAGACCCATTTCACTTGACATTGTTGTCTTCTTCCAGAAACAGTCTACCATCATTTTATAATAGCACCATCTCAATCAAGCATCTACTTAATTTTAACTAAACTGTGCTCTGATGAAGTTACTTTTTATGTATAAAGATCAGCATCTTGTGCTATTTGAGATGTGCATCTATCCAAGCAATTGCAACAAAATATCCAAGAGGGCTATCTTATATAACCATAAAGTAAGTAAATATTCTTTCAATTGCTTATATGCCTGTGTAGCAATCATCCAAACCCTTTTCAAGAACAAAGCAATCTCACAAAATGTCTAGGTAAGAAAGAGATTCTGATATAGAGAGTCACAGAACCAGAAAGACTTTTTAGCAAAACTGCACATAAATTCTCAAGTACAAGGCCATGAAGAGTGCTTGACTTGAAACAGACATCCAACTATGCTTGAGTCACCACCTTCAATGTCATCTGTTTTTTATACTGGCATGGAAAAGCTCTCTTTTGAGGTAAAATATTGTGCTTTGTTGTGATGTATGAATCCTAAAGTACTCAAATGCAGTATGAAAAAGGCTCTAAGAATCATAAACCCTTATAAAATAAATCCTGAACTAGTGACTCAGAAGAACTGTAGTGACTTAGACCTTTATTGTCACACATCTACACACAGACAATTTTCAAACAGGACCAAATATACCAAACTGTAAGAATTTAGATATATGTCTCTAAAAAATAAAGGACTTAAGGACACTGAAACGAAAAGAATGTTTCTACCATGAGCTCATCCTGTGAAATTATCAAGATTTCAAGTTGACAATTTATTGCCAAGAATCATACAGCAGAATATAAATACATGGATGGCAATGCTTGAGGTGATAAACACTCCCAAGCCTAAAGGCATTAAGGATAAAAGTTCCCAAACAACTTTGCACAAAGAAGTGTAGTATTTTGTCTTATCCAACTCATTTTCACCAATGACAATCAATTCTGAATTAAGTAATCTCATTAGAAAAATTCCTAAATGCATACACATGCTAAAGGATGTCAAATATCTACAATAACAGACCCTAGTTTGCACATGCACTCTAATCTCATGTATGCTTTGCTATGCATACTATGAGAGTTATTTTTATTTTTAACATCCATACTAAATTCCCCTTTTTTGCATTTACCTCATCTCACTGATTCTGCCAGCCTCAACAGGAGATCAGTAGGCTTTGAACAGGGGCAAGGGATCCACACCTAGGATTGGAGAGCCCTGGCAAAGCAGCAGTGCACAACGTTGCTACCAGCAGGCTTTTTAAGCGGTGGGGAATTGGCTGGACATGATAGTGAATTATGTCAGAATTTTTTGGCCCGAAAAGTAACACTCTAAAAAGACTCTGAAGAAACTGAACAACCTCCCAAGTTAAAATTAGGGATGAAAAATTAGATTTAAAACCCAAACAAACAAACATCCTACAACAACAAACAAAAAAACCCAAGACAAAACACATCAACCAAAACACATATACACAAAATGACCAAACAATCCCAAGAAACCAGATCACCAAAAAAGCAGCAGCTCCTCACATAATATATAATCTATTTTGAGAACCCCTTGCTATGAGACAAGATCATAAAGATATGCAAGTTATAATAAAGACTGGACAAGTTTCAAAAAAGAAATCCACAGAGGGATTATTTCTCAGTACAGAAAGCAGACAGATCACTTCCAGACCAAGAAGCTCCTAACTCACAGGTGATTAGACTTGTATTGTACAAAATTATCATTAGATGACTGTCTTATATTGTACAGTAAACTTCCACTTTTTGGGCATTCATCATACATGGCTAGATCCTTCCTAATGATCTGTTTCTTGTGCAAACTGAATCGCAGCTATTCTTCTGTCTTTTTGAAGTCTTTGAATTAGTGACCTTTTTTATTTTTCCCCTTTTTCTTTTTCCCCCCCCTCTCCTCTTTCCAGTCTTCTTTCCACCTGGCTTTATGATGTTCTTCATAAAATCAGTAATCAGCAATGAGCAGAATATTCCAGGTGAATTCTTACTAGTCCTACACATAAAAATCATCCCACTGCAGCTTACTGCAGCATTTGTGTCTTCACTAAAAGAATATCAGTAAATATTTCAGTTTTCATAGCTTTATTGCATTATAATGTTCCCTCCCAACTAAGAGACTTACTCTTCTGAATTTGCCCTTAGCATTAACATTCTACAGAAGACTTCCTTGTTATACCTCACCTCTCTCATTTTTTGCTTCTCTCAGGTCAAAAGTTGTAACTTTCAATTTCATGTCTTGAAACCCTACTTGCTCTATTGCAGTGAGTAGTGTAGGAGGTCAAAGAGCTAGTTATTTCTTTCATTAATGAACATATAGTGGATGCCTCCATTCCAGAGGATTGAGGAAGGTTTGTTTCTCTCATGCAATGGCACTGAACAGTTGTAATGTAGCCAGCTGTAGCAGCTATTTTCTTGAGAACCACCTTGGTTAAAATTGAGTTTGCTAATTTCCTGGTACATAAAAGAGGAAAAAAAATTAAGTATATTGAGAAGTCTGCTACAAGAAAAATGCAGCATTGTCCAAGTATCAAGAATTCTTTATCAGATAAACTTACCTTATCCTACCAGGCTAGTAGGAGAAATCAAAATTAACATTCCAACAAAGACAACCCCATCATATTTTGATGGCCTTTGTCAGCCTACAAAGGCTGACAAGGCAAGTCTTCTTTCTCTGATGGACCCTATCAAGAACATAACTGGTAAAAATAGTGTCTCTCGAATCAATCTCCAATTTAATCTAGAAACATGAATTTACACAAGGATATTTATTAAGTTTGCTGGTACCAATAAGTGGTCCATGCCAATGATATTGTTATCAGTGACAAACACATCACTACAGCCCTTGGCAGAGCATTTAGTACCAATTCATGCAATTCTAGAGCAAGATGAATCACCTACAGGAAAACATGCACGTATAACACCTGCTCTGGAAAGTCAGCTTTGCTACTAGTATCACAGTAAATGCTTACATAAAGCATACACTCAAGTCCTATGTGTCAAGAGCTACCTACAGGATTCTCACCTACTTATTACTGGGGTGATTCTCAACTTCTCTTGTTCCTACAGCAATATGCTGTTTGACTTCAATCTCAATAGCAGATCTCTCTCAGATTTAAGTAACATAGAGTACAGTTAGTCTGCTTCCAGCAGATACAGGAAACAAAAAAGACTGTCATGGCTGTCCTGCCTCCTTTGCTACATTTTGTCAGGAAGCTTTTAGAGAAGAGTACAGCCCAAAGAGACTCTTTCCATTTTGCTACACAGATGATAAGGATTGAACAGAACAGGGAGGGAGGGATGAAGGAAGAAGAAACAAATGTATTTACCATCTTAACACGGGAAAGCTTGTATCTTTCCAAAGGTACCTTGAACAATCATAGGCATTCAAACCAATGTTCAAAGTTAAAATGCACCTTTCTCCAAGGCTGTATATTTTGAAACAGAAAAACACACAATACACGTACCTGCAAAACATTTGTACTTAAAACAAGCACCTGAAGTATAAAACTTGCCTTGCTGATTTCATCATCAAAGGGTAACATTTCAACAAACTACAGCAACCCAAATAAGATCATGTTCAGATATACATATCAGTATGTCATACCAATTGCCAACAGATACTTTAAACTAGAAGCCCACATCTTGTTTAGAATATCAGATTAAAATAATCCTTTTCATGTGAGTCACACTCACCGTTTCTTGTCTTTGGGACTCAGTGAGCTTTTCAGACAATTCTTCTAGAGTCTTTCTTAATTCAGCATCAGTCCTTCATAGAAAAATATAAGTAAGACAACATTCTACAGAGTAGAAGCTAAGCAGCACCCATGATAATTTTAAGCAGCAACAACTCCCCCCAGAATTTTTTGCTTCCTCAATTTGTTCTATAGCCAATTCATAATAATTTATAGCATAATGAGAAACAAGCCCCAAGTGGAAAATTCATTATAAAAAGCATTCCCATTCCTCAAGTGAAGCAACAGAGCATATAAGTATCAGCCAGGTTTCAGGTCAACAAGTAAAAAATTATGGACACATCTACACAGTCCTTTTGAACAGTCCTTTCCTACTAGGAATTAACAGTCTAACTCCTGTTATTGCTATTGAACAAAGCACCACATGTTGACAAAGTATATACATTACGGCCTGCAGGAGAGCTTGCCCTGAAGGGACTCAGTTACAAGAACAAACTAAGAGCAAAGTTATAATAAAAGAAAATCCCTAGATCTTGTTATTTTGTGCATATACTTGAAAAAGCTGAGGAAAGCCCCATATATTATACAATTTGGAATCAGTAGGTGTTATTAACATTTAAAAATACTGCAGAAGATGACATAAAACAAGCAGTTCATAACCCTGCTTTCATCTACATGTTGCACAATCACTCATTCTCCATAAAATTATTTTCTGAACTGAAAGAGTTTTTAGAATTTTTTTTCCACAGTGTTCTCCACACAGAGTTACATTCTGTTTGTACCGATTTCTTCTTGAGAGCTCGCGGCTGATGTCATCTCCCAGGCGAACTTGTTCACTGCTGAGATCCCGAAGAGACTGGTGGAAAGAATGCAGCTGTAAATGAAATCCACAAATTATGCCAAGGCTTAGGAACCCTTTTTTTTCTGTGATATTCCAAAAATAGATATCTACACACTTTTTAAAATAAAGTAGATAAAAATAACCTAAAAAAACTAAAACTCCATGAACTGTAGTTGAGCCTGGATGACTGGATGAGGCTTATGCACTTCTGTTTCAATCCACCCTTCACAATACTTGCTCACTGTAGTTTAACTTTCAGTACTTTATTTGATAAACCAAGTTTCCTAACTATGGTTTTTTAATGTGGTTCAGAGCTTACAAACTATACCAGCTCTTCAACTCAATGCAAAGCAAATTGAAATATCTGAACAAGTAATGTTCAGGGACAAATTTCATGTTAATAGATACCAGTATAGGTAAAACAAAGTCTATAGTCTGCCCAGCTATATATGCTACCATAAATAGATTACATGGGAACTTGAAATGAAACAAGCAGAACAGTATAATGTATTCAGGAACTACCAAGAATAGGTATTTTACCTTGCCCAAGACTTTACATACTCCTTTTTCAAACCTCAGGAAAAAAACCAAACAAACAAACAAAAAAAAACAAAACCACCCATCTACTTTCTGAAAAGTACTTCTGACAACGGAGGTTTTTTCTGAAAAACCTCCCATTCTGCCCATTCAGCAAGCTCCTCATTTATCATCAAAGTTTTAGGGAGCAAATAAAAAAATGAATAGGTCATTCATTCTTCATGGAACAGAAAGTGACAGTTAATCCATCCTAATGCAACCTATTGCTGTCAACAATTCCATGGCCAGGATTATCTTTATGAAAAAACCTAATTTATAATATTCCTTTGTTCTGTGTCCTAGATTTAAACCTGGATCTTCCACAATCAAGCTGACTGCCCTCAACATTCAGACACTGGGACTACTACCTCCCCTGTATGATTAACCATAAATTCCCACCTGACCTGAAGGACTTTGAAATAACATGTTGTATTTTCAACATGTATGTGCTAAGAAAGAGAGAGACTTGAATGAGTTAAAAGACCATTTGGCTGAAAAATTACTTCAGCCAGAAAAATTCAGAATGGGAATAAAGAGAACAGTGGTTGCAGAAAATAGAAAAAGCCACAACTTTACTTTAGCAGTACAGCTTTATCTCTGGTGTAATTTCTACCTACAATCATGATCAATGGCTACTTCTAGTTTACCATTCCTCAAAGCACTATACTCTTCTCACAAAATAGTTAATGACAAGAAAAAGGCCACATTCACCCACTGAAAAGCAAGAATAAGGAATAAACATAAACCAGCAGTTATCATCAAAACCAGAAAAAAAATGCTATTTGCCTACATAGTTACTTAATATGAAGAACTCTGTATGCATTGCAGGAACTCCCTTGAATAAAATTTCCAAGATATTTATAGAATATCAAGAAATAATCTAAAATAGTCCTAAGGATTTTGGATGGTTGGGAGGAAAGATTCCCATATAATATTTCCTTCCAAGGATTATTTTCTACACTTACCTTGGGAGAGGAAGGAATGGGGGGAGAACTTGACTGAAAAGACAATGAAACAGGGTAAAATAAAAGTCTAAAATTTCTATCATTTCCCAAAAAGTCAACTGAGAAAACTTGTTTTAGTTAAGTTTAAAATTATTTGGAAGCTGAGACTGATTTAATAAAGTCAATGTGAATACCTTACAATCAGCTTCTTTAACATTAGTCTACACAGATTCACTCAAGCAAGTCTATCCACCCTGTCTGAAAAAAGCAAAAACAGGTAGTGAAATCTCCTCTCTACCTATAGGATAACAGAAACACTATAATCCTATCCATTAAGGTAATTAATTTATTTTTTCTCAAGTCTGCAAGCAGATACAGGTTAAGGAATATGAAAATTACCTGTGGCACACACATCTTCTCCTCCCATCATCTCCCTGAAATACAGGCTCAAATTATCCCACTCACAGGTCAGACCACGAACTAAGATGAAGAACTACCTGGTTCAAAATCAAGTCAAGCTACAGTGAACTAAAACCAAAAGCACTAAGATTCTACACCATTAGCTAAAGCAGAATAACCCCCTTCACAGCCTCACTGAGCTTCAGCACAAAGGTGAAGGTTAACTGCCTGGAAGGGACCTCTGGAGGTCATCCCATCCAAGCCTCCTGCTGTGGATACTGACAACCTGGTCAGAGAGAGAAAGCAAGATAAACAATCCCAAGAATTGTTCTGGGGAGTTTTAAGAAGGCTGAGAGAAAGAATTAAAACAGCCTTGCAGCTGGTGCTTTGAACACTTGTTTTCCTATAAGATGTTTACCAAAGGGTGTCTCCTTAATTAGCCAATCATGTGAGGTGTGTTGATTAAAGGACCAGTCAGGTCCATCTGTGTCTGAACAGGGTATAAAGAGGAATGGGTTCCTAATAAAATTATTAGCCTCCTGAAGAGATCTGGAGTGTGTCACTCATTCATCCATTCCTGATTCAGTTGTGACACCCTGCCAAGGGAGGGTCACCTAGAAAAGGTGACACAGGAACTTGTCCAAGTGGGTTCTGAATGTCTCCAGAGGGAGACTCCAAAACCTCCCTGGGCAGCCTGTGCCACTGCTCTGCCATACTCACTCTAAAGCTCTTCCTCACACTGGGATGGAATTCTTGTGTTTCAGTTTATGGCCATTGTTCCCTGTCCTGTGACTGGGCACCACTGAACAGTCTGGCACCCTCCTCTTGACACCCATGTTAGAGATATTAATATGCATTACTGATATCCCCTCTCAGTCCTCTCCAGACTAAACAGGCTATTCAGAGATTATTTTTCTTTGTCATTAGACAGCCTAAAAAGTAGGAAGATTATTTTCATATTTTACTTTTGATACCACTACCATCTGCATCTTTTTCTCTATAATGATTTGCATGAAATTTCATGACAGATACAAGAGGTGACTGCCTAATGAAAAAAGCAGGTAACATTGAAAGCACAAATCATAACTGAAACACTCTTAGCTGCGTCTTCAGAATCACCTCATTTAGTGTAAAAGCAAAGAGTCTTTGAGACTCTTGGACTCTCAAAGAGCAAACATACTGCCTGTTTGGAACAGCAGCTCCCATTAGTGCTCTGTACCTGCTCCACATTGTCTGCCTCACTGACAAACCGAACACTTGCAGATCGAGACCTTCGGTGTTTATTGCCCTGTGCGCCTCCGTAATCCCTGAGAGGAGAAGTAGGCAGGAAGTGGTGGTTGCCTGCAGGAGATGAGATACAAAAAAAAAAAAAGCAGGAAAACAAAATTTAGTATGGGAAATTCTGCATTTTGCTTCACAAAAAAAGGCTTATTTCATCTTGACAATATCCTTCTAGGTCACATTACAGACAAAACAACTACTGAATTACATATCATGCATATGACTCTTAGCTCTTCCCAGGATTCTTCTTCACTTTAAACATTTCTTACCCATGACATACAAGTATTCCAGAAAGAGGAAATCTTCTCCAAGGAGTAGTTTTTCCTCAAATTTTATTTGCCCAACCAACCACTTTTTCCTCCACATGAATCTATCAGATCTTCAAACTATTATATTTCACAGCTTTTACATAGAAATTAAATTTTTAGAGCTTTCTGCTAAAATATATTCAACACTACCTCTAAAAGAAATACTCCTCCCAAACAAACCTTTTCCCAAAATATTAATGAATTTTGTGAGATATACAAGGAAAAAAAAAAATACTCTTTTGTGTGTCATAAATAATTTCTGGTTTTTTCTTTTCCACTGTTTCCAAACATCCATAATCTCATGCATTTAAAATTTAAATTCCCTTTTTGCTGTGAAGCAAGCTTCAGAAGCTGCAATATCTTTTGGATTTAGTTTTAACCTGTATGTACCTACAACTCATGCAGTGGAAAATTAATTTCCTCAGCTGAAAGAATCAACATTTCATTTAGATCTCCTGGGATGCCGGCAGAAAATACTAACAGAAACACAAAGCTGAAAAATTTACCACATAAAAAACTGCATAACTTAATGCAGGTCTCCCAAATTTCTAAACTCGGTTTCTTTTAAGTCATCAACGACGACTTTCCATAAGACCATCTCTACACATTTTTCCTCATTTCCTCTTTGCATAGCACAGCCATATGACATAATTCAAGCATACTCAAGCCCTTCAAGCATTTTACCTGATGGTCCTTCTCCATCCAGGTCACTGGGATATAAGCTTGAGAGAGATGCACTTCTCATTCCACAGTTTCGTGTTAGTCGCTGGCTCCTCAACTGACCTATAGATTGCTCCAGTGTTTCTTTCAACTGTAGAAATGTATTGAAATACGAAATTGATATTAATATTAATTAATTATTATTAATTAATATTTATTGAAATATTTCAATTTATTGAAATATGAACACAGACTTGTTTTTTAAAAAGCACAGAAAATATTTATTTAAAAGTCATTAAGAGAATAAAAGCTATTTTAAGCCAAGTACAGCTACGAATTTTTCTTTAATATCTCATTTATCACATTCCTGTAATTATAGCAAAACATGCTTCCAACACTGGCAGCTTCAAATATCAAGTTTCTTAAAACAGTGGCGCACCACATGGTGCACCACCATGAAAACTCAAAAGTTTATCTCCTATAACCAAAATAAGACCTATTTGCCAGCAATGCTCATTAACAGTTCTACAAAATTCAGAAAATAACTTCCAAGAAATTATTTTTTACTGGAATGCTTCCACCAGCCCTATCTGGAATCAATTTTACATGGCTACCAAATTTCCCTAAGCAGCTTTACAGAAACCTCTATTTTTAGAAGTTTTACTTCCAGGAAAAGGAAGCCATTCCCAATTTAAGACTACAGAACTAGCTATATTCAAAAATTAGTTCTTCATTTTTCAAACTTACATCTTGTTTTTTTACAATTGCATTTGTTAACTTTGGTTCTTAGCCACTTGCCTTGTTACACCTTTATTTGACAATCCACAAAACATCAATTTCTAAAGGTTCTCCTTTTTCTAAGAGAAGTTTGTATACTGGCTTGTATGTATATTGGTTACATTGATGCTTTACTCCTGCAGAATTATATGGTGGATCTCTTTCTCTGAAGAAAACAAGCTTTCTTTTCTACACATTTGCTTCTTCACTCTCTCTACCTTCACATGTAAAATATTCTACATTTCATATGTATCTGTTTTAAGGCAGCACCTGCTGCAGCTTGTAACCAAATTGTAAACTTCTCTTGTCCTAGCAGCATTGATTTGTTTTGTTTTCTCTAAGACACCTGTTTTCAAGTTTATACAAGTTTGAGTTTTGAGTTTCTAAAATGAGAAGACTAATTTTAGAATTTTGCATCCTTTCTGCAATTTAGAGCAAGCTGGTCAACAGGTCCAGAAACTGTTGTAGAATGACAGGGAAAAATGCTACACCAGGATGACCACAATCTCATTCCCTGCTGTAATTCAGCTTTTATCTTACCACTTCTTCCTGCAAAAGAAACATGTTCCCTAATACTCTATTTCAGCTACACATCTTGTACTTTGCATAGCACCATAACATAATCTACTGGGTGCCTATAAACAGAGAAGTAACAAGCTTACAAAACCTGTCAGAGTTTCATTACATAACATATTACTATATTATGATTTAGTTTGCTCAAATAAAAATTAAAAGTTTCTGTTTACAGCTACTTAATTCCTTATATATTCTGTCCATTAATACCAAGTTTTCAGCTATGAATTCTACTAATGGAAAAAGCCAAAAAAGTTAAGATAAACTGAAAGTTGCTCACAGTTGTTATTGCTTTGGTTTGTTCCTTGTTGTATTCTCTGTATTGTCCTAGCAAATGGTCAACGTGTCTTAGATTTCTGTTGGTATCCTTAAATAAAAAAGGTTTAGAAAAAAAGTCAAAACAGAAACTTCCTCACATTAAACATTACTGTTGTCTTTATTCTCATTGATTACTAAGATTAAATTGAAACACAAATGCTTTCTAAAGGCTCTAAGCATTCAAAATCCTATTCAAGTAACCAGAATCTGAAGGGATGGCTAAAGGGAGGAAAATTAAGAAGAAAAAAAAAAACAACCAGATTCTGTAATTCCAGTACAACAGTAAGGCCTCAGCATCAAATAAAAAGTTTTTTTAAGTTTCAGCCATTCTGTAGAAAAAACTTTTTAATCCAACAATCTTAACATTACCTACTTATAGAACAGAATAGTTATCTGAGAAATAACAAGTTTTTGATGGTGAACACACTAGGTAAGGTCACTGCATGAGTATTTTCTCACCAGATAAACAGCTGGATCAGTGGAAGATCTGCTGAAAAGCAGTCCATAAAAAGCAATTTGCTTAAAATCAGAATTTCAGAAGAGCAGCTAGAAAGAGGTTTGACAGAATCAGAATACCAAAGAATCCCTTTTAAAAAGTAGTCAGACTGTATTCTTATTATTATATTTTTTCTAGATTGATATTTATTTTCCAGATAACAAGTTTTAAATTTTAAATTTACCATTCTATATTGATTTTTCTCTTCTCATATATTAAAAAAAATATTTCTACCCAAATAATAAGTAATAAAATATACACCCACCCACTCTAGGTAGTCAGAACTGTCAACTAGAGTAGAATGGGAATAAATTCTCCAGCACTAATGGTGTCAGAATAGCTAAATTTACAAAGCAGATATTCCCTCTACACCCTCCACTTTTTCTTGCTCTCTTACAAGTTTAGAAATAATGCTTCCCACAGTGCTTTTTCACATCTAGAAAATATTTGAAATATAAGCTGTCTCCTGAAGGAATTGACCACTTACATATCTGTCAGAAATTTGGAAATGTTACAGAGTACAAAGACAACCAAGACAAGGCTGAAACCTTCTGCTAGAAAATTTCATGCCTTTTGTGAGAATCTAACAAAGCTGATTTGCCTTTACTCAGTTTGCTAACTTCATAAAATAGTATTCCCCAACACATCATTATTTCTAACAACACCCTACTACTGTCTGATATAGCAGCTGTATAAAAGTGTGACAAGCCACACACTTTCAGCTCAAAAGCAGTATGAATTATTTCCCAAAACTTTGGTTTGGGAAATAATTATTTCCCAAATCTTTGGTTTGCAGAGAAAGCAATGTTTCCCATCTGAACAGTACATTCCACAACTTTAGAAATGAAAATTTGACTCTGTGTTACAGAAATGCAGGCTCTATAAATACTTTAAAGTTGTATTTTGGAAACAACCTGCAAAGTGCTTGCTAAAGTATGGATCTTCTCTGTAACTTCTTCAGCACCATAGTTCTGAGCTCTGCTGTGGGACGCTCTCAAAGGCCGCCTTCCAACCCGACCCGTAAATAAGTTGTCTGAATCACTGGATGAATCTGCCATCAGTGTCTTGAAGCCTAGGCAGGAAGAAAAATTAATGTGTGTTAATTCCTGTCTGTAACTGAAGTCTTGCACAGCATTCCCAAAGCAACTTCATCAACTCAGATGACATTTGCCTTTCTGGTTTGGGTCAGCAGGATGTACTTCTGAAGCAGATCTTGCAACTGCCCCTCAGTTATTGCCTTTGTTCCCACTCTGAAGCAGGGTCAAGATGCAGAAGGCAGAGCCTCTTAGGAGCAAATTAAATCAAAATATGCAATCTCACTGCTTCCAAATGTTCAGTATCCATGATCAAATCACAGCCCAAAGCAAATTCTCCCCCCCAAACACAGAGTGATAAAACATCAATGTTTCATCAATCTTCCTGGTCTGCAGAACCACTCTCTCCTTTACCTCACACTACTCACTAAGCTGTGTTCAGAATGGGGGATTGCTAAATCTCAAGGACAGCAAAATAGAGGCAAAATAGTTCAACAATCATCAGATGGGTGAAATTATTAAAAACTAGAGACAGCTGTGCCTAGTATAGTAAAATCATATAGTAACTGATTAAAATAACAACCCTCAAAAGGTAGGTTAGATTGAAATTTTTTCTTAAACTATTATACACTGCAGCAGTTTGCCTTAAGGTCATGGAATGACTTGGTGAAAGAAGAAATAGACTAGCAAACTCTTGAACCCCTGTAGTCAACAAAAAAAAGTCACAGCAAAGATGACATTCTTGTAGCTATGAGAGCTAAAATTTACAAAAAAAAACCCATGGATGGATTCAAATCTTGTATTGTATTTTATACAGAGGCAACTTGATGCTTTTCCAAGCCTTTATATTTAATTTTCAAAAGGTTGCACATTTGTGTCCCCCAGACTTGGATAAAAACCTTTCAAACATGAAAGAACAGCAAATCAACGTGCTTAGTCTGTGCTCAAGTATATCAGTATTCCTTCTTTTACTGAACTGGTGAATTTACCTCATCTTTCCTCTCCTTATCTCACCTCACTAAAGCACATTTTTACCAACAGTATCAGAATTCGTTATTCCAGTGCCTCACTCTAGTCAGCTGCAATGAAGTCTTAATTAGACTGAACATGAATAAACACTAAACACTGGGAAATAGAAATTATGGGATATTTTCAAAGACAAAGAAAAATAAAATAAATAAAATACTGGTACAGATAATAACATGGAATAATATTGGCTTTACTGTAATTTGGTAAAAAAAACCAATCAGCAAAACCCAATAAAAAAGTAGACTGAACCATAAGAGCCCCAACTATTGAAAAGCAACAACTGAAGGAAAAAAGGGAAATAATTATTTACAGCATGAAAGATTAATGGGTTTATTTTCAGCTGTCCAAAAATAGGCTCATTAAGATACATACTAGCCAAAGCACAGAAGAAAGGACAGTAATCAAGGTAAAAATAAAACAAAGCACAGGATAAGGAGGACATTTTGTCTGAAGAAAACTTACTATTTACGTTTAAGCATTCCTCTTTGTTCTCATGAGCAACCTAAAAGGAACCACAAGTACTTTTAAGGTGAAGAAGCTGTTTCACATAAGGCAATATCCTCATTTTTAAAGCAACTATGCAAGTTTCACTTTAGATTTTAAAAAAAATCACAAAGAAGTAGAAATTTGTAGAAATGTTCCAAATGCACATCTGCCTATCAATTGAAACAAACAAAACAAAAGCTTATCACTTTTTCCAAAAAGCTACACTAATTTCAGCACATATGACCTACTGGACAGTAAGAATCACTTGGCTCTCACTGGTTTTTAGTTCTACCCAAGCAGGTCATAACCCTTGCTGAACTGATGAAAAGCATCAATACTCAGTATTTTCCTTTCCTGTAGGAAGCAGGACATTTCAGCTTCACTGAGGACTTTTAAAGAGATCTGCCAGGTAAGAAGTAGAGCTGACAATTTCAACGTCAAGCTCTTCACCTTAAGTAAACAAAAGATAAAAGTCAGTGTACACAACCTGATTATTCCTCGAGTGTTTTACTTGTTCAGCTCCACACAGACTAATCTATCACTAGGTAACTAACTTAGTGTTAAAGGAATGGTTGAAGCCTTATAGCTAAGACTGAGCACGACAAAAGAAAAAATTATAATCATTTCAGAAAGGAACAACATGACACCTGAAAGGCCCTTTCCTTAGTGTTTGTATGAGTCTGGAAAAAGACAGGAAGGTGATCCCATATGGCGATATTTCACCATCGTGCCTTCAGGGACCAATACCCCATTTTATTACCAATTTGTCACACCGTGCTCCCAGCACTCTTCAGCAGCACAACACAGAAACGGTTCCTTCGCACTGTTCATTAGCAAGTAATGCCCTCGGGGAATCCTCCTCCTGCCGGGCACGCAGGGAACTTCACTAACACCCGACTCCAGCTCCGAGAGTCTCCCGGTTCTCTGGCCCAGACAGGAGCCCGGGCATGCCGCCGGCCGGGCCTCCGGAGCGCCCCGCGGCACCCCGTGCCTCCCGCCGCCGCTCCCAGCGGCGCCCGCCTGCCCGCGGCGCTCCATGCCGGACAGCCGCCTCCCGCACACCGCCCCGGCCGCGGCCCTTCCCGCACCCCCAGCCCGCACCGCACAGCGCTCCGAGGCGAGGCCGCCCCGTCCCCGGGCACCTCCCGCCCGCCTCACCTCGCCGCTATGGCAACTTGAACTAGCCGCCCTGCCGCCAGCTGCCGGGGCCGCGGGCCGGGCGCCGGGCCCCCCGCAGCGCTCCATGGGACACCGAGTCCACAAGCCGCGGGCCCGCCATGGAAAAGGAAGGGTGCGGGACTTCAACTCCCGAGAGGCTTTGCGGCGGCAGCGCGGAGAGGGCCGGGCAGGTCCCGCCTTGCTGGGAGGCCGTTGGGCCTGCGGAGAGCGCTGGTGGGAGCGGTGGGCGGTTCCGCGAGTGACCTGGTGTTTGTCAACGTTGTTTTGCGAAACACTGAGTTTTTACAAAATACACATTGGTGTTTACAAACAAGTCAGCTAAATGACTGCGAAGAGCAGAAACAAAAGCTGTCGCACTGGTAAAGCCGGCGAGTCTGTTCCGCTTGCGAGCAGATGGCTGATAGGCAGGGTGGGGAAAGGCATTGAGCTACGGAGCAGCTGTTCTTACAAGGAGGCGTTTCCCTTCCTGGTTCTTGGCTTCTTGTTTCCTTAAGCCACGCATTCCCCTGCTCCCAAATGTTGTATCTATTGTCCTTGTGTGCAGTAAAAACGACCAGGTATTACTGCTTTGACTGACCTATAAGAGAGAAAAGGGATAAAGAGTGCTGTGACCGATTACAGGAAATGTCTCCTGGGCCTCTGAAATTTGGGCATAGCTTGCAATAGGCCAACACTCACTGGAATATTTGATCACCTGTAGGTGAGCACTCCAGCCAAAGGTAACTGCACTGCCCTGGTGGTCCATTTGGCCCAGCACACTGTGTTCATCAGTGACAGCAGGATATTAAGAGAGAGCACACGAACCTGGCTATGTACTATGCTCTAACCCTCTGTAGTTTCTTCTGTCATCTACATTTGTCACGTCAGAGCTCGTTTGTAAGAAGGCTGTTTCCTTTCGTGTCTGTTTACAGGCCTGTAGACCCTCAGTTTGTATAATCCTGTGTGCCTTCCCGACCTCCTAGCAATGATTTCTGGAAGCTTACTTCTGAGTGTGTAAAACTGCTTTATTACTACTCTGTGGTTTTGCATAATTTAAGGGTCTTTGCTGAAGACTGTGCTAAAGGCAAATTGAAAATCTAAATAAACTGTATCTAGAGTTCTGTTGACAGCTTCAGATGACTTTCAAAACATATAAGGAACATCTGTCCTTCAAAAAAGCTGTTCTGATTCTTCCTTCAAAGAGCATGCATACATTAATTTTACTCTTCCTAGTAGTTTATACTGATGTACCCACTACAGTTCTCAGAGTTATGTTTTTGGAATTGTTTTTTTGAAGCTAAAGAGTATTGTGATTTTGTTTGTTTGTTTCCTTTTGTCATAAGGATGTTAAATATGTTCATAAGATTGCTACAGTACATCCTCAGTTTGGAATGAGGATGATGAGAAATTATTTAACTGTGCAAAACAAACCACTATACTAGACAAAATTATAAAGAAGTTGTTTAACTTTCTAAGAAAGTATTAGATGGATTTGAAAAGTTATATCCCAGCATTCTGTTATGTGAAGTGCTGTGTTAGACAGTAACATGACGGTGCTTGCATTTAGAGAGGCCAGCATGGTCTTTCTACTTTGGGTTAGTGCTGCTTGATTAATGCTGTTGTGCTCCTTGACTAATACAAATATATAATACAAATACAGATCTTGGCTAAAACTTTAAAAAAATAAAAGAAATATTATTCTGACCCATTACATATATATAAATAAATGTGCATATATATATAAATAAATGTGTATTGAGTCTGAGGACACATACCTTAAGAGTTAGAAAATCCAGAAGGACTATAACTTTTTTTTTAAGCTTAAATTCAATTTTTTAAATTTTTGTATTTGCCACCAATGATACCTTTTCATGCTGTACTACTTGTCCTCCATGACAAGTCATTATTCATGTAGCTTTCAGGAAATTGTTTCGCTATTTCTTTCACAAGGCTATCAAAAAAAAAAAAAAAGACAACACGAAATAAATAACTGTCCTACAGATTCATCTTTCATGGTACTCAGAAAATGAGTTCTTTTATGAACAGCTATCATAAATGCATAAAAGAGGAGAAGCACCATGTGGTAGATGAATTGTCACCTATGTCAGTGAGCTTGAAAGCCATTTAGCCATTTTTTATTTATGGTTGTTGTAATAAACACTCAAACTCCTCTATTAAACACGCTGGTCTCCTTATTAAAGGAAGTATGTGCCATGACCCAAGTCAAAGAAAAGCGCAAGATCTGTCTGAAGTCTGAATTATGGGGGCAAATTCATTTTTGCTAAAGGTTATTTCTAAGGAAGTCAGAGATGGCTAGAAAGCTGACTTTAGATGAAGAGGCACAGGGAATG